GAAAAATACAGGGCTAGGTTCCTGTGAGCCTATGGTTACATTTTCCTCAACTAATCAATACAGAATCTTATTTTCTGTGTGCTTCTTTTAAAAGATATTTAAGGCCAGGCGCTGTGGCTCACGCCTGTAGTCCCAGCACTTTGGGAGGCCAAGGCGGAAGGATCACAGGGTCAGGAGTCCAAGACCAGTCTAGCCAACATGGTGAAACCCCATCTCTACTAAAAATACAAATATTAGCTGGGCGTGGTGGAGGGCACCTGTAATCCTAAGCTACTCGGGAGGCTGAGGCAGGAGAATCGCTTGAAACTGGAAGGGAGGTTGCAGTGAGCGAAGGTCACACCATTACACACTAGCCTAGGTGAAAGAGCAAAACTCCATCTCAAAAAAAAAAAAAAAGATATTTATCACTGATTGATTAACTTTGAAGTCAGCCAACAGCACTATAACTCATGCCTGAACAAAGCTTATCTAACACATATTTCCTCCAGAAGGCACATCACAGCCTGTTTGTCCTTTGGAACACCTTGACGGAACTTTAGCATTACACTAGGGGGCCATCTTATACTGCAAATCAACAAAGCACAAAAATACAAAACATACGGCACTAAATAGACTGCAAAACAGACACTTGATTACAACATAAGGGCTGAAACAAGAAGGCGGAGTGTTGCCTTGTTCAGTCTCAGCTGGGAATATGTGCACTGGGTGACTTAAGTTTTTACCACTCCATGTCAGTGCATATCTGTAAATAACCACAAAAGCACCGCAAGTATTGATTCTGGGGTTATGTATAAATTTTAGCAAGTAAGTGAATTCACAAACAGGGAATTTGCAAATACTGAGGATCAACTAACTGTATCACACAATGCCAACTTTTTTTTTATTTTGCTTGATAACTAATACGACAACTTAACTGTTCACTGAATGTATATAGTATTTATGTCTTAGAGCAGGTTAAACGGGTCTCTGTGTCACTATAGGTACATATCATTTTATCATGCTTTGCTTTATTGGGCTTTGTAGATATTGTCTGTTTCCAAATTGAAGGTTTGTCCCTGCTTGCAGACTGACCCTGCTTCAGGCAAGTCTATTGGTGTCATTTTTTCAACAGCATGTGCTCACTTCATATCCCTGTGTCACATTTTGGTAAATTCTTGCCATATTTCAAACTTTTTCACTGTTATGGTGACCTGTGGTCAACGATCTTTTTTTTTTTCTTTTTTTTGAGACGGAGTCTCACTCTGTTGCCCAGGCTGGAGTGCAGTGGCGCAATCCAGGCTCACCGCAACCTCCACCTCCCAGGTTCAAGCAATCATCCTGCCTCAGCCTCCCAAAGTAGCTGAGATTACAGACGTGTGCCACCACACCCAGCTAATTTTTATATTTTTAGTAGAGATGGGATTTCACCATGTTGGTCAGGCTGGTCTTGAACTCCCGACCTCAAATGATCCCCGCCTCAGCCTCCCAAAGTGCTGGGATTATAGGCGTGAGCCATTGCGTCCAGCTGATCAGCGTTCTATTGTAACTGTTTTGGGGTGCCACAAACTGTGCTCATAAGAGATGAAAAATTTAATCGATAAATATGTGTGTTGTGACTGCTCCACCAACTAGCTATTCCCCCATCTCTCTCCCTTCTTGAGCCTCCTTATTCCTTGAGACACAACAATAGTGAAATTAGGCCAATTAATAATGCTAGAATGGCTTCTTAAGTATGCAAGTAAAAAAAAGGGTTGCATATCTGTCACCATAAATCAAAAGGTAGTAACGATTAAGTTTAGAAAGAAAGGCATGTCAAAAGCTGAGACAGGCCAAAAACTAGGCCTCTTGCACCAATTAGCCTAGTTGTGAACACAAAGGAAAAGTTCTTGAAGGAAATTAAAAGTGCTATTCCAGTGAACATATCAACGATAAGAAAGGGAAACAGGCTTATTGCTGATATGCAGACGGTTTTAGTGGTCTGGATAGAAGAGCAAACCAGCCACAATAAGTTAAAGCATAATCCTGAGTAAGGGCCTAACTCTCTTCAGTTCTATGAAGGTTGAGAGAGGGGAGGAAGGGGCAGAAGAAAAGTTGGAAACTAGCAGAGGCTGGTTCATGAGATTTAAGGAAAGAAGCCATCTCCATAACATAAAAGTGCAAGGTGAAGCAGCAAGTGCTAATGGAGAAGCTGCGGCAAGTTATCCAGAAGATTTGGCTAAGATCACTGATGAAGGTGTCTACACTAAACAACAGATTTTCAATGCAGATGAAACAGACTTCTATTGAAAGACTTCTAACATGCTGTCTAGGACTTTGACAGCTGGAGAAGTCAATGCCTGGCTTCAAAGCTTCAAAGGACAGGCTGACTTTCTTGTGAGGGTCTAGAAAAAGTTCAAGTCAGTGCTCATTGACCATTCTGAAAATCGTAAGGCTCTTAAGAATTATGCTATATCTACTCTGCCTGTGCTCTACCAATGAAGCAACAAAGTCTGGATGACAGCGCATCAGTTGACAGTATAGTTCACTGAATATTTTATGTCTACTGTTGAGAACTGCTAAGAAAAAAAGATCCTTTAAAAACATTACTGCTCATTGATAATGAACTCAGTCACTAAGAGTTCTGATAAAGATGTACAAGATCAATGTTTTTGTGCTTGCTAACACAACATCTATTCTGCAGCCCATGAGTAAAGAAGTAATTTCAACTTTCAAGTCTTATGGCTATAGCTGCCATAGATAGTGATTCCTTTGATGGATCTGGACAAAGTAAACTGGAAACCTTCTGGAAAGGATTCACTCTTCTAGATGCCAATAAGAATATCTGTGATTCCCCTGAATACGAGAGACCCTAATAGTTAAGCAGGAATATCATCATTCCTATTCAGCCTGAAGAAGTTATGGAAGATGGGTCTTCATCCTTCTACGAACCTTAGGACTAGGGTTGTCTTATAAAAGGGAAAGAGGGAAATATGTCAGAGGTGTTCGAACCACAGTGACTCTCTCTTGAACAGGGGCTGAGACCAACTGGGCTGCATTCCAAGGAGGTTAAGGCATTCTTAGTCACAGGATGAGACAGGAGGTTGGCACAAGATACAGGTCATAAAGACCTTGCTGATAAAACAGACTGCAGTAAGGAAGCCAGCCAAAACCCACTAAAACCAAGATGGCAATGAGAGTGACCTCTGGTCGTCCTCACACTCCTACCAGCGCCATGATAGTTTATAAATGCCATGTCAACGTCAGGAAGTTACCCTATATGGTCTAAAAGGAGGAGGAAACTTCAATTCTGGGAACTCCCCACCTCTTTCTCAGAAAACTCATGAATAATCCACCCCTTGTTTAGCATATAATCAAGAAATAACCATTAAAATGGGCAACCAGCAGCCCTTGGGGTTGCTCTGCCTATGGAGTAGCCACTTTCGTTTCTTTACTTTCTTATAAACTTGCTTTCACCTTAAAAAAAAAAAAAGAATGTCTATATATCTGTGACTCATGAGAAGAGGTAAAAATATCAACATTAACAAAAGTTTGAAAGAAGCTGCTTCCCATCCTCTAGGATGATTTTGAGGGGTTTAAGACTTTAGTGAAGAAAGTAGCTGCAGATGTGGTGGGAATAGCAAGAGAACTAGAAGTAGAAGTGGAGCCTGAAGATGTGACTGAATTGGTGTAATCTCATGATATAACTTGAACAGGTGAGGAGTTGCTTCTTAATGATGAGCAGATAAAGTGATTTCTTGAAATGGAATCTAATACTGGTGAAGAGGCTGTATACATTGTTGGAATAACAAAAAAGGATATAGAATATTACGTACACTTCATTGACAAAGCAGCAGCAGGGCTTAAGACAAGTGACTCTAATTTTTGAAAGAAGTTCTACTGTGGGTAAAATGCTATCAAACAGCATTGTGTGCTACAGAGAAATCTTTCACGAAGTAAGAGTCAATAGCTGTGGCAAACTTCACTGATGTCTTATTTTAAGAAAATGCCATAGCCACCTTCAGCAACCACCACCCTGATTAGTCAGTAGCCACCAACACTGAGGCAAGACCCTCTACCAGTAAAAAGATTCTAACTCACTGAAAGATTATGACTCAGATAATTGTTACAATATTTTAGCAAAAAAGTATATTTTAATTGAGGCATGTATTTTTTATACATAATGCTGTTGTACACTTAACAGACTACAGTATGGTATACACATAACTTTTGTATACACTGGGAAAGTAAAATATTTGTGTGACTCACTTTACTGTGATATTAGCTTTATTGTAGTGGTCTGGAACAAAACCAGCAGTATCTCTGAAGTATGCCTGTATCTAAGAACACTATACCATTTCAATATTGTTTCCATGGAAAATGTCTTTTGCATTCTAGGCCAACAATTCACAAATAAGCTGATTTTTTTCTTTAGTTTTGAGATAGGGTCTTGCTGTATTGCCCAGGCTGGAGTGCAGTGGCATGATCACGGCTCACTGCAGCCTTGACTTCCTGGGCTTGTGTGATCCTCCCATCTCAGCAACCCAAATAGGTGAAACTATAGGCACACGCCACCAAGCTTGGCTAATGTTTTTATTATTTGTAGAGATGAGGTCTCACTATGTTGTCCAGGCTGGAGCAGAGTGGCACAATCTCAGCTCACTGCAACCTTTGCCTCCCAGGCTTAAGCCATCCTCCCACCTCAGCCTCCTGGGTGGCTGGGAGTAGAGGTGCACACCACCACAGCCAGCTATTTTTTTTTTTTTTTTTTTGGTAGAGATGGGGGTTTCACCATGTTGCCCAAGTTGGTCTCAAACTCCTGGGCTCAGGCAGTCTGCCCATCTTGGCCTCCCAAAATGTTGGGATTTCAGGCATGAGCCACCATGCCCAGCCAGCTTTCAATTTAAAATACATCATATGACTGACAACTTACATCACAAATCTTTCTACTCCAAGAATTCCTTACCTTCCAAATCTCTAATTATATATGTAAATAAACCAGAGAAAGAATTCTTATAATTTTCAGAAGAGAGCTGCAGCTTTACCTTAAATATGATGACAATGGGTATATCTTCTGACAAAGTATTATGCCTCAAATAAAATCGTCCTTGTTTCACAGCCATATTGGTTCTGCTTTTTTTCTCATGGGTAGAGCTATGAGTAAATACAAGTTGGTTAAACTGCATCCCCACTGAGTTTCAAGCTAATAACATGCAATAGCAATGATCATTAATCAACAAGGGTCAACTGATCAACAACAATGACAAGGTCCTTTCTAGTAAGTACTTTAAAAAGACAATCCCTTTCCTGCCCAGCTGCCACTTCTGTGAACATTTAAAAACATGATAAATTTTTCTTTGACTTTGAGATTATGATGGAAGTTCTGTGTGTGAATGAGTGACAACTACTTTCTGACCAACTTCGCTTTGACTCCACCTGAATTACTTTGATCCACTGTAGAGCATATATACAAGGCCAATTTTATAATATGGGCCTTAACCATAAAGAGGAAATTAAAAAGAAATGAATTTATGTGAGTTTTTAAACTAGTAATTCAACAAAACATACCCACAGTCTTGGTATACAGTAAAGCCAAAAGAAAGGAATATACTTCTATTGGTATCTGTGTTAGTTATAAAATTTCTAATGGATTTCAAAGCATTTTAAAAGCTCTAATCAACCACATTAGTAACACACACAGATTACCTGCTACTATGCATTGTTACCCACGTTACTTATATTAGCTCTAATCTTCTACATAGCCAAACTTTGAAGTATTATCTCAAAATCACATAGGAGGAAACCAAGACTTAGAGAAGTTAAGTAACTGCACGTTCCAGTGCCTCATATCTAGAAAACAAAGGCTTTAGGATTCAAATTCAAATTGAAATTGCCCTGGCTCCAAAGTTTAGATAGTGGGAAGACATGGACTATAGAATTAACTGTATCTGGGTTCAAAGGCTATCTACCCCTTACAGTCAAGGTACCCCTGAGCTTAAGGCCTGTTAGTTGTAAAATGAAGATGTTAACAGTACCACTTATCTTGGAAGACTGAGGTGACAAATAATATATCTAGTATTTTGCCTGACTGCTGGTAAGTACTCGACGAATGACCATCATTGTTAACTGCCTCTCCATCAGAAAGAAAAGTACAGAAACTCTGAGTTAATCAGTTCGTTGTAGGTTATCAAACGGGAAACTACTACACTCTGACATCTTATCTATGCCACAAATCTTTCTATTCCCAGAACTCATTAACCTCCACGTTTCAAATTACATGTGAAAATAAAAAGTTACAGAAGCCTCGAAAGGGATACTGTTGTAAAAATGAGTACACTGTGAAAGAGGCTGGTCTAGAAAACTAACAATAGGGTGTTAAGTCCATAATATAGGTCATTTAGTATTAAGAGTCAAATAGTCCCTGATCATACTGCTGCAGGAATACACAAGTAAATGGTAAAAGGCTGAAAAGGAGCATGAAAAACTTAAGAGTGGTTTTATATTTTTTCTCTTTAAAAATCTCCTTTCATGTTCTATAAGCTAAGATAAAATTCAGCTTAAACAGTGACTTTTCAAACGATGTCTCAGACTCCCATCACTGAAATTTTAAAATCAATACCTTATGCTTCCAGACTTTCATAATAAATTGAATGCAGATAGCTTAAATATTACAATGCCTGCTTTTAGAGGTAATAACTGGCTCCCTCTGTATTGAAAGATAGCCATTTAGGACTAATTGAATGACCAATATTTTTTAAGGACACCATCTTACCTGGTAACTGAAGCTCCAACGGCTCCTTTTCTATCAGCCTCCACGATGATCCTGTTCTTAGACAGCTGCTCTTGGATAAGAATAACTTTTTCCACTCCTTTAACAATGAAGTAGCCACCTACCCAAAGGAAACAAGAAAAACTTAATCATTTATTCCTCAACCAGTAATGGCAAGAATCTTGTGAATCAGATTACCTTTTCTACTGCTTCATGGCACTGGCTAACACTTGATTCAAAGGGGTTTGCTGATTTTATTTTTTGAGAAAGGATCTCCCTCTGTTGCCCAGGTTGGAGTGCAGTGGCACAATCATAGCTCACTGCAACCTTGAACTCCTAATCTCAAGTGATTCGCCCGCCCCAGTCTCCTGAGTAGCTAGGACTACAGGCATGTGCCACCACGCCTAGCTAATTTTTAAATTTCTTCCAACAACAGGGTCTCACTATGCTTCTCAGGCTGACTCGCTGTCTTAAGCCATCCTCCTGCCTCAGCCTCTCAAAGCGCTGGGATCATAGGTATGAGCCATTGTGCCCATCTGATGTTGTTTTATGGACTGAAGATCAGCACATTATTTTATACAAATGAACTATATTTGTATAAAATCTTGAGGACAGGAGATATATCTTATTGGTCTATGAATCACCAGCCCCTGACATATGTAGAAAGTGAATGAAAAAACAAGTTAAATAAATTAGTTGTCAGAGCTCTTAAGTACAAGTGTAACTGACAATTTTCAATATAAACTGAAATTTACTCTAAGTTTTCTAACAAATCAGTGATAATGGTAGATTAAGATTAGGTTTCCAAATAATATTGCATATTCGAAAAAATTCATGCATCATCATTTATTTTTTTTGCACACAATTCAGAGTAGGATAAAGTAATACTTCACTTTATACCTGCAGAATATAAGCAAAAACAATACAACATATTCGACTTATGCAACATTCTGTTACAGTCTAGTAAAGTCACATTCTTCATTAACTTCTTTCCAAAACTTCTGAGATTCTACAACAATGTAACTTTACAGGAATAAGATTAAAGCAACTATAAGTTCAAATAAATCAATGTGAAATATGAGTTAAAGAATTAAGATAAACGTCCTGTTAAGTTCTAAGTTTGAAATTTTACAAAAGAAATTGCCTAGAAATAGGCACAAAAATAAAACTTTTCAAAATGTAAACAAAAAAATACTTTCATCTTCCCCTGGCTTTACTGCATTTAAAACAGCCTGAAGTGAAATACTTGAGCCTGAAGTGAGATACTTGATTTTTTTCAACGAGGCAAGGCCAGTAACTTTGGAAGATTATTCTTGAATTTTTAGGCATACCAAAAGAAACTGCTGGGCAAAGATAGAAAAGACTGACAAATCATGGCAATAAACAAGAATGTGGCATATTAAAGTCTTAAGTCTGAAATAAAAGAAGAAACAGTATGTCTTTGAGAAATATAGACTAATAGGGCTGGGCACAGTGGTTCACACCTGTAATCTCAGCATTTGGGGAAGCTAAGGTGGATGAGTCCAGGAGATCAGCCAGGATGACATAGCAAAACACCATCTCTACTAAAAATACAACAATGAGCTGGGCATGGTGGCACAAGCCTGTAGTCCCAGCTGTTTGTGAAGCTGAGGTGGGAGGACTGCTTGAGATCACAGCACTGCACTCCAGCTTAGGTGACAGAGTGAGAGACTGTCTCGAAAAAAAAAAAAGAAAAAAAAAAGAAATACAGACTAATAGCATAAAGCTAGATAAAGCTAGAGACAAATTTCTGGGTGTTCTGTGAACAAGTTCATTATAAAGTAGAAAAGTTGGCACTGTTTTTGAGACAAAATGTTAAAACAACAGCAGCAGCAGAATAAAAGAATAAGGAAAGTGGGGCAAATCCAAGACTTCACACATACCTGGATCTAAAGGACATTCGTTCAGTTTGGCAAATTCTGCTGGCGTTTTTCCAGTAAGAACACAGTTTGAACTACGTAGCATTATGGGCATTCTGTATAAAATAAAACAAAAGAAAATATCACATGTAGGCTGTCAATGGTAAAAGCTGCAAAAAATACAAAACATGCAGTGCACACCACCTCACCAAGGGTCTGTCTATGCACTATGTTAGAAAAGGCAGAGAAATAGCAACTGCATGGAAGCCAAGCAAAACGAAGTATTTTCTCAGGCATGCTGCTCGTCTAGTACAGATGATAAAAACTCAGGCTGGGTGCAGAGGCTCATGCCTGTAATCCCAGCACTTTGGGAGGCCAAGGTGGGTGGATCATATGAGGCCAGGAGTTCAAGAGCAGCCTGGTCAACATGGTGAAACCCCATCTCTACTAAAAATACAAAAAATTAGCTGGGTGTGGTGGTGTGTGCCTGTAGTCCCAGCTACTTAGGAGGCTGAGACAGGAGAATCGCTTGAACTTGGAGGTGGAAGTTGCCATGAGCCGGGATCGCGCCACTGCACTCCAGAATGAGGCTCTCTTAAAAAACAAAACAAAAAACCAAAAACCTCAAATGTTTGGTTTAAACTTTGCGTACAGCTTTAGTGAGAGTCAGAAATGACAGCAATACTTCCTTCATGGAAGACAAAGTGATTCTCATCAGTTACTTGGCAATAGCATGACGCATCCAAGTGTAAGGAACAACAGGCTATGAAAACTAACCAGGCAGTCTGGAAAAAGAACTAAGCAAAACTTACTAGAAATGGAAATTTTAAGCACTGACTTAAAAATGTAGAAATAGGTTGGATAATAACAGATTTGATATTGCTGAAGATATAATTACTGGGCTGGAAAAGACATCTGAAGAAATTACTGAGAAGGTATCTCAGAAAGACATAGAGATGGAAGATATGAAAGAGAGTTTAAGAGTCAGGGAAGGATAGAGAGAGAGTCACTAATAAACATCTAATCACACTTCTAGATGGCAAAAATACACAGAATGGGTGAGAAGTCCTATTCAAAGAGATAATAGCTGTAAAGTTTTAAAGATACATGAAAGACACAAATCCTCACAGTAACACCTGCACAAGATAATAAAAAGAAAGCTACACCTAAGCATATCACAGTCAAGATACTAAACACCAAAATTAGAGATCAGATTTAAAACCCAGCCAGAAAAAAAGGGAGGCTACCAAAAAGGAAAGGATACACAATAACTTCACAACAATCAATGACACAGAGCAATGTGCTCAAAGTGCTCAGAGAAAGTAACTGCCAACCTCAATTTGTGTATTCTGCTAAGTATTCACTCAGAATGAGGTCAACATAAAGATATTTCCAGACAAAAACTGAGAGAAGTTACTAATGTACTAATAGGCCCTCACTAATAAATTTGTAAAAAAAATTCATCTTCAGGAAGATGGAAAATGAACACTAACCAAAAGTCTGACGTGTAAAAATATTCAGTGAGCAAAGAAAATGGAAACTAACATGTGCGGATATAAACAAATATGAACTTCGTAAGACAATAACAATTTCTAATTCACAGGTTAAAAAACATGACAGGGAGGCCGGGCGCAGTGGCTCACGCCTGTAATCCCAGCACTTTGGGAGGCCGAGGCGGGCGGATAACAAGGTCAAGGGAATCAAGACCACCCTGGCCAATGTGGTGAAACCCCGTCTCTACTAAAAATATAAAAAATATTGGCTGGGTGTGGTGGCGCGCGGCTGTAGTCCCAGGTACTCAGGAGGATGGGGCAGGAGGATCGCTTGAACCTGGGAGGCGGAGGGTGCAATGAGCCAAGATCACGCCATTGCACTCCAGCCTGGGCAACAGAGTGAGACTCCATCTCAAAAAAAAAAAAAAAAAACATGCCACGAATGGTGGCTCATGCCTGCAATTCCCAATGCTTTGGGAGACCGAGGCGGGTGGATCACTTGAGCCCAGGAGCTCGAGACCAGCCTGGACGACATGGCAAAACCCTGTCTCTACAAAAAATACAAAAATTAGCCAGGTGTGGTGGTGCACTTACAGTCCCAATTACTGGGGAGGTTGGAGGTGGGAGGATCACTTGAGCCCAGGAGGTTAAGGCTGCAGTGAGCCTCAATGAGTGTACCCCTGCACTCCTGCCTGGGTAACAGAGTGAGACCGTCTCAAAAAGACCAAAACAAAACAAGATAGAACAAAAATTTGGTACAACAAAAGCATATAAGTCAAAGTGATTGATTTGATCCAACTTAAAAGCTTTGTAAAGTCTTTGTTCTTGCCAGGAGGAGAATAAAGATATTGTTTACTTTTAAACTTTGTTAAGTATACATTTCAAAATTTCTAAGATAAACATAAACAATCAGAAATACTGTATATGACTTTTAAATCAATTGGGGAAGGGTGAGGAAAAAAATCTTCCATTATCCAAAAACAAAAATGGAAAAAACTTGAAACATGAAAAGCTAGACAGCTTTAAAATATAGAATAAGTTGACAGATATACATTCAAATATATATGTATATACGTATGTATATATATAACAAATATAATTGAACTAAATTCTCAAGACAATTTTTTTAAAAATGTAGCCATATGCAGTTTACTTCAACTAAACTCAAAACGTAAGGACATTTAAGAGATTTTTTTTTGAGATGGAGTCTCGCTCTATTGCCCAGGCCAGAGTACAGTGGCACAATCTCGGCTCACTGCAACCTCTGCCTTCCGGGTTCAAGCAATTCTCATGCCTCAGTCTCTCAAGTAGCTGGGATTACAGATGTGCACCACCGCGCCCAGCTAATTTTTGTATTTTTAGTAGAGGCGGGGTTTCACCATGTTGGCCAGGCTGGTCTCGAACTCCCAACCTCAGGTGATCTGCCCGCCTCAGCTTCCTAAAGTGCTGGGATTACAGGTGTGAGCCACTGTGCCCAGCCCATATAAAAGATTAAACAGACAATAATTTCTTTAATGATATGCCAGAAATATAACCAAAAGAAAGCAAACGTGGCTATGCTAAGAGCAGACAAAATAAGATTCAAGGCAAAGAATATTACAAGAGATAAAGAAGATAAATGTATAATAATCAAAGGTTCAATTTACTAGGAAGACTTAACAATTCTAAACTTCTATGCACCTAATATCATAGCTTCAAAAAAGCAAAAATACACAAAACCATAAAGAAAATGGACAAATCCACCACCACAGAGGGAGATTTTAACATACCTATTGTAGTAACTGATAGAACAAACAAATCAAAAAGCAATGCAGATACAAAACATCTAAACAACACAATTAACAAGTCTGATCTGAAGGAAAAACACAGACAATGGCACAAAACAACTGGAGGAACACCCCTTGTTTCCAAACAAACATGAAACATTTATAGAAACAGGTCTCTACAAAGCTCCAAAAATTGACATAAAGCACCAACTGGCAAATCTTAAGTCTTCAAAATAACTTACGTTCAAAAGGAAATAGTAATGGGAAGATAGAAATAAGAATATTGTCATTTTACATCAAGGGAAATGAACACACTGACTAAAGTTATGTAATACGACATGAAGATATAAGAATATTACAGTTACTACAGTAACCAAAAAATTAAAAACAAGAAGGAAAATTTGGAAGAGGAAGGGAGAAGCAAAGTAGGAGACACAGGTAAGCTAAGCCACATCCCATATATCAGGAGGCAAAACATAATGTTTACAGTTAATGTATCAAGAAATAGAGGTCAAAGCATCACATTTAAAGTTACGGATATTGGCCATGCACGGTAGCTCATGCCTGTAATCTCAGCACTTTGGGAGGCCGAGGCGAGTGGATCACATGAGGTCAGGGGTTTGTGACCAGCCTAACTAACATGGTGAAACCCGCCTCTACTAAAAATAAGAAAAAATTAGCCAGGTGTGGTGGCAGGCACCTGTAATCCCAGCTACTCAGGAGGTAGAGGTGAGTGAATCACTTGAACCTGGCGGGTGGAGGCTGTAGAGAGCAGAGATCATGCCACTGTACTCCAGCCTGGGCAACAGAGTGCGACTCCGTCTCAAAAAAAAACAAACAACCCCGCCCCCTGCAACACACACACACACAAAATAAAGTTATGGATGTAATAACCCCCAGAAAAAATAACAGAAATAGTCACGAAGTTGGGAATGGGATGAAAGGTGAGGAAGGGGAGGGAGGTTACTGTTTTGAATCAAATGTTTTTATGTACTGTTTGATTTCTAACCAAGCACAACTATAATTTGGATTAAACTAAAATCTTTTTACTCCAAAAAATAAATGAGATTCTATATGTAATTTAGATAATGCATAGTACACATAAGCATTCTAATGACTAGAGGTCATTTTTATGAATGCGGGGCTACCAAACAACACTGCCTATCACAGTATGGCACGAAGCAGGTATTCAACAAATGCTAGTTACATGGCCCCTCTTTAAACCAGGATTTAAACCATCAATCTTACGAATTTATGTTTTCCTCCAGTCTCTCTTGCCTTTTCTTCACAACAATCTAGTTCATAATTTAGCTATGGTCCAAAATTTAACTGGATACTAGTATGGTCCATATATAAGAAAGAGAGACGTTCTCATCTTAACGCTGATAGGCCAGGTGCGGTGGCTCACACCTGTAATCCCCGCACTCTGAGAAGCCAAGGCGGGCAGATCGCCTGAGGTCAGGAGTTCAAGACTAGCCTGGCCAACATGGCGAAACCCCATCTCTATTAAAAAATACAAAAATTAGCTAAGTATGGTGGCACACGCCTATAATCCCAGCTACTCAGGAGGCTTACGCTGGCTAATTACTTGAACCCAGGAGGCAGAGGTTGCAGTGAGCCGAGATCACGCCACTGCACTCCAGCCTCGGTAACAGAGTAAGATTCCGTCTCAAAAAAACAAAAACAAAATCAAGAACAAAAACACTGATAAACAGTCCTGCTAAAACCAAGGTGAATATTTTAATGTCTTACTTATTTTTCTAATTGAAGAATGAGGAGAGAAACAATACAAATTACCCCTTCCTTTGAGGGAAGTGTAGGAGAAGGATTTGTTAAACCTGCATGTTCCCATAAAACTCTGGACTTCTAGACCCCTTACCAGATGGTGCCATAATTACATATGCCAGTCTTCCCTGACAGCTGTGAATGAAGGTAGCCAATAGGAACTGTATTTTGTGTATCTTTTACTCACCTAAGTACTCAGCATCATACATAAGAAGTGATAGGCAGTTGGTATATATTTATTGAACAAATGGATGTTTGTTCAAAAGTGCTCTTAGCACTTTTGAGAGGGGCAAAAACACTTGAACAGAAATTATGTGGACTAAGTTTAAAGTCTAATATCATTATTCACCTCATAATATTGTGGGTTTTGTCCATTTCTAAAAGGAGAGTCAATGTATTTCCCTAATCAGGAAAGGCAGATTGCAAAAACGCAAGTGGATGCTATCATTTCCAAACTTGTACCAGGCAAGTAAGTAATTTCTCCCTTAAATACTTGTAGATGAGAAAAAGTTAAATTCCAGGAAAACTCAATCTCAGAATACACCTGGAATCCACCAAGGCCTGTCCAGGAGAGTTCACGGAAATGCTATCGTACCTAGTGTTTCCCTAGCAGCTTAGAGTTACAGTAGGAAAGGGAAACATTTTCCTCAACTTTTTAGAAAAGGTTTTACAATTAATAAATGGTAACCACCACGACTATATGCTGGACATTATTCTAAGTGCTTTACACATGCTGACTCATTGAACCTACGAAATAGGCAGCATTTCTTGCATTTTTCAGATGAGGAAATGGGGTCACATCATGGGGCTGGAATCCAGGCAGTGTGGCTCTAATACAGATGTCATTTCTCACCTGCCGATGGGTAAGGCATTGCGGATGATCCTCTGGCTGCCTCGGGTATATTCAATATCCACTGTAATAGGGGCAGAGTATGTCATGTCTCTCAAACGGCACTGAAAGAGAATCAGGAATTTGATAGTTATTGCTCCTTCTCTCTGCAACAGGGTCCTGACCACTTCAAAGTGCTCCTTCTGTAGTAGAAGTATGGCCCACATTGAACTTTAATCCCTTTTTCTCAAAAGAATGTCCCCCCCATCCCGTTTTTAAATGATTTTTTAAGAGTATATATTAAGGGCACACTCTGAGTTAAAGCAAACAAGTCCAATTAAAGTAAGGTTCGTAATTACCTCATGAGGGGACACTGGTCTAGTTACATTGAAGCTTTCTTCAACATCAGGAAGCCCAACGTAGATATTAAGATATCTGAAAAGCAAATTAGTGTACGAATTATACTTCTTCAAAGATCATAAAAGCAAACAAGCTATTTTCCTTCCAAATACAAAGATTATGTTTTGATATATGCTTATCTTGCTAAGGACAACAAATTAAATATTAAAATTGGAGATCTTCTTGAAGTGATAGTACATATAGCTTTACAAAGAAGGGAAATATTATCAAAGTATCTTTTAAAAAATATTACAAATCTCTTTACAAAAATACTGGACATACAGCTCCCTAAAAACGATACTTAATGAAAGAGCAAAGTGCAAAGAGTACTGATGATATGCTATCATTTGTAGAAGAAAGAAGAGGCCATAAAGGCAAAAAAATAAATACGCTCATTTGTGCAAAAGAAGGATAAAAAGGATAAAGCGAAAACTAATGAGAACGGTTACCTATGGAGAGTGGCTGGGAACAGGGTGGAAAGAACTGGAAGTGGAACAACTGTTTTCTGAATATACTTTTTTGTGCAAGTCTAACTCTTAAATCATAATGTTTCACATACTGAAAAAATAAAGAAAAGAACTAAAGTAAGTAACCCTGGGAGACAATATTGTGACTGGACATTGAGAGGCTAAAGGTAAAAAGGACAGTGCACAGATTTTATACTCTAGTAAATTTTATCTCACAGAGATATGAGTTAACAATTCTGAAACTTTATGTATAGTCTAGGATTGAAAAAAAAATTTTTTTTAATATTGCAGATAATGGGAGCCAGATTTCTCATTATTGGGATAAAAGTTAAGGAAAGGAAAAAGGTTAGAATGAGTCCTGCAGTGCTGAACTGAAACTGGAGGTATCAGTCTGCATGGTTTTTAATATATGTAAAAATGGATAGGATAAAGAAATATAGATGTGTCTGCATGTATGTGCTCATATACATACACATATTTCTGAGCTCTGCCTGCTGAAATCTTAGTGTTCATCTCTTGGATTCTAAGTACTATTTTCCAACAAAAGGGAGACTCTGGGGCTCCTTGATTCCAAATCTAGGACAGGGGCATACCAGATGAACTACATCTTACAGTGTGAGAAAGCAAAGGAGTGCTCAAAAAATAATGGTGGCATCATGAAAGGACACAGGAGTCAATCTGAAGGGTCTCCCTATGGTCAAAGCTGAAACAGTCTGAACAACAGAAAAATGACAGTACTGGATACATATATGATAGTACTCACAGAATAAAATAAAACATCCATGAGTCCAAATTGATATAAATTAATAATATAGAGAGATAAGTGAGGGGAAGAGGAAACTATTCCGGATAGAATTCCAGTATCAATGCAGAAGGAATGATAGAAATAAAGGTTCACCCTTAGGTAAGCCCACAATAACTGTTATAGGTAAGAATCATCAATGTATGCCAAAATTGTTGGTGAAATTATGATAAGAAAGGGTAGTTGCATAGTCTCAAAGAATCTCCCTATAAGATACTTATTAACTACAAAAGGAAAAATAGTAACTTTTCAGTGGAGAAATCTGGAAGATTCTACCTTAACCAAGTGAACAAAGTTAAAATCATCAGTAATAAAACATACTGGCATCTGTAACCCCAATATGAATCAGTGAGAACACAAAACATTGCTTCTGTGGTATTCTTGCCAAAAAAGTAAAACCCAATCTAATAATGATCACATGTCATACAAACTCAAATTAAAGGAACTTCTACAAATACTGACTAGATTGTTCAAAAGTGTCAATGTCATGAAAGATCAAGGAAGATTGAGGGACTGTCAAAAATTGAGGAGACTAAGGATACAAGACAACTAAACATAACATGGAGCTCTGGACTGATTCCTACACCAGAAAAAGAACATTTGTGAGAAAACATCAAATAAGGTCTACAGATTAGTAGACCACATCATATCAGTGCTGACTGCCTGGTTTTGATCATTGTGCTATGGTTATGTAAGATGTTAATATCAGCGAAGGCTTGGTGAAGAATATTGAAGAACTCTTTGTATTATTTTTGCAGTTTTTCTTTTAAGCTTAACATTATTTCAAAATAAAAATTTAAATATACAAAATCTAATAGTTTCAAAAATTTCCCAACCATAACTCATTATAATTTGCCAGTTAAAAATTTAATTTGAGCACTTTATAGTTAATAAAAGACAATGATTTATTTTTTCTTCTTTTTTTTTTTGAGTCGGAGTCTTGCTCTGTCGCCCAAGTTGGAGTGCAGTGGCAGTCTCAGCTCACTGCAATCTCCCTGTCCCAGATTCAAGTGATTCTCTTGCCTCAGCCTCCTGAGTATCTGGAATTACAGATGTGTACCACCACACCTGGCTAATTTTGTATTTTTAGTAAAGACAGGGTTTAACCATGTTGACCAGGCTGGTCTCGAACTCCTGACCCCAGGTGATCTGCCCGCCTTGGCCTCCCAAAGTGCTGGGTATTACAGGCATAAGCCACCGCGCCTGGCCAAGACGATGATTTTAAAAGAGTTTTGATAGCAACTTCACTCACTTTAAAAAATGTTAGATGTAACCCACATAGATCTAACATAGCAAATTAAGAATAGTTGGTTCCTTACTTTAAGTACCACATAGGGTCAGCATCACTTGTAACCTTTTCATTGGCTTTCATTATCTTCTTTATCTGCAGTGGAAAATGCAACATTAGTAAAGACTCTGGCTTCCAATTAATCCTTAGTTTATGTCTATTTCTAATGTCTGATGCTTACCTCTACATTAATGAAATAGTTAAATGAATCTATATGCTGTTTCACAAGGCCTTTCACCTAAACAAATAGAAAGAGAAAGTAAACAGGTTAGCAACAAAATAATAAATCATATAATGAAATCTAATAATAGGTGAACATCAAATTTTTATCAAAACCAAAGTGAGAAAAAAAATCCATGAATTTTATTTAGTAAATTTTTTCATTAGTGTGTTCTCATTCCATGTCTGCATCATCTTACTAGTATATCCTCGAGAGTTTTCCTCCTTGAGAAGCAATCTGACTTTCGGAAATCAAAATATGAGTATGTGAATATATGGTCATGTGCCACATAACACTTCATTCAACTATGGAGCATATACCTGACAACAGTCCTATAAAGATTATAACGGAGCTGAAAAATTCCTATCGCCTGACGACTTACAACTTGATTTGATTTCATAGCGTGTATTTCTGAAAAGAGTGACCCCCTCCTCAACAAGAGCCTCCGGCGGGCCCCTCAGGACGTATTCTAGAAGTAAGCATTGTTATCCCAGAAGATGATAGCTCCATGTGTGTTATTGTCCATAAAGACCCTCCAGTGGGACAAGGCACGGAAGTGGAAGACATGATACTGATGATTCTGGCCTGGGCTAATGTGTGTATTTGTATCTTAGTTTTTAACAAAAAAAAAAAAAAATTTTTTTGAAGACAGAGTCTCGCTGTATTGCCCAGGCTGGAGTACAATGGCACGATCTTGGCTCATTGCAACGTCCGCCTCCCTGCATCAAGTGGTTCAGGTGCCTCAGCCTTCTGAGTAGCTGGGATTACAGGTGCCCGCCACCATGCCCAGCTAATTTTTTGTATTTTTAGTAGAAACAGGGTTTCACCATGTTGGCCAGGCTAGTCAATCTCAAACTCCCAACCTTAAATGATCCGCCTTGTCTCGTCCTCCCAAAGTGCTGGGATTACAGGTGTGAGCCACTGTGCCCAGCACCTTCTTCTCCATTTATGTGCAGCTCCTTTTAAAAAATAACAAAAAGGCCGGGCAAGGTGTCACATTCCTATAGTCGCAGCTACTCAGGAGGCAGAGGCAGGAGGATCAAACTCAAGAGTTTAAATCCAGCCTGGGCAATGTAGCAAGACCTGGTCTCCTAGAGGAAAAGAAAAATTTATTGACCTTACGACCATTTTATTTGATTCTTGGTCAATCCACTACTTAGAAACTCAATAGCTTCCTATGGCTTTTAGAAGAAAAGCGAAATCCTTAACATGGCTTTCAAATCTGATCAGGAATCTGGCCCCGACAACTTTCCCAGCCTCATTTCCCAGCACTCTTCCCTCTGCCCATAACACCCAACTGAATTCTAGAGTAGAGTTCAAAATGAGTAGAGACAAAACTCTACTCATTTTTCTTTTTTTGAGACGGAGTCTCACACTGTCACCAGGCTGGACTGCAGTGGTGCGATCTCGGCTCACTGCAAGCTCTGCCTCCCAGGTTCAAGTGATTCTCCTGTCTCAGCCTCCCAAGTAGCTGGGATCACAGGGGCCCACCACCACATCAGCTAATTTTTTGTATCTTTAGTAGAGATGAGGTTTCACTATGTTGGCCAGGGTGGTCTCAAACTCCTGACCTCGTGATCTGCCCACCTCAGCCTCCCAAAGTGCTGGGATTACAGGCATGATCCACCGTGACCAGCCTCATTTTTCAAGTCTCCATTCCTTCACTTAGCACAATGCTTTCAAGATTCGTCCATGTTGCAGCAGGTAACATACTCAATTTATTTTTATTGCCAAATAATACTCTGTTGTACAGATATATCGCATTTTGTGTATCCATCCAGCAGCTGATGTCCATTTGGGTTGTTTCCACTCTTGGCTATTATGAATAACACTGCTATGAGCATTTGTGTACAGGTTTCTGCATGGACACGTTTTCACTTCTCTTGGGCAGATATCTAGGAGTGGAATTGCTGGAGGATGTGGTAACTTTTTGTTTAACCATTTGAGAAACTGCCAGCCTGTTCTCCAAAGTGGTTATAACACTTTACGTTCCTACAGTGGACAGTTCCCATTCCTCCACACCCTTATTAACATTCTATTTTGATCATAGCTATCCTAGCGGGTACCAAGTGGTCTCTCGTTGTGGTACTCACTACTTCTTAGCATAAGCTCTTGGAAATTGAATTGAAGCCTGACACCACATCGTATCACATTCAGCAACTCCTCTTGACTGGTCGCTGTTTCCTGCAGACCCTGTGGAGGCTCCTCTTGAACACCTTGATTAAGCCACACTCTCTGCACCCAGCTTTCAGCTTAAACCTTCTTCTCTTAAGATGTGGTTTATGTCTCACTTCATTTGGGTGGCCCTCTCTGACCATCGCTCTTTTGCTGATAGCACTTTGGTTTTCAATCATGTGCCATGCTACTATGCATGTACTACTACTTCTCTCTAAAATTAGACTACCATTCCCCAAACCAGCACCTTTCAGGCAGGGATTTTACCTTATAATTCCTTGTATTTCCAAAACCTAGCAACACAGCTACACAAAATCAAAAAACGTTGATGACAAAAATTTAACCTTTAAAAAATGGCTTATTTCTTGACCTTTTCATCTGAAAAATAACCAATTATTATTAAATGTGAAACAATTACCTTTAAAAATGCTGGAAGCAGCCTCCATTTTTCCTGTGAGCCAAAACAAGAAGAATATCAGAACTCTGTACCAGCAACAGTACATTCATGTTATTTTAATGTACCAAAATAAGCAAAGGAAAGTAAGTCAAAACAAAAAGAACAATTTTTAACATTTTTATGGAAATCACATGTGTGCATATGCATATAAATATGTATATACATACATACATAACACTACAGATTTCTTAAACAGAATATAACTTAATCCCTTCTTGATGACTCAATATTTTAAGCACTTTTCAATCCTTTCTTTTATGCTCATGACACTTCCTAAGTGAAGTCTGCCAGTTTGAGAAAAGGAAAATAAGGCTCAGAGAATCTGGTGGGAGAGCTGGTTCTCAAGACCCAAAGGGAGTTCTGTCTCCCTCCCACTCTCTCTCAACTACTGTCTGGTCAGAGCTCATCTCAGGGCTACAGAAGGATGGCACATATGGTGATAGCTTCCTACACTGCCTGAGCAACTAGAGGGACAGAGTTACAATTGATGGAGATGAGGAACACCGTAGGAACAGCAGGTTTAGGTATGGAGGGGCTACCAGAAGTTTGGTTTGGGTATGTTAAGTTTGCATTAGACATTCAGGTGGAAATGTCAAGGAGGCAACAAATGAGACTGGAATTCGGGAATGGAGTGGCCGGGAGATATAAACTAGGGAGAGATTAACAAGTGGATGGTAATTAAAGGCATGTGATGGATGAGATCACCTATGAAGTGTAGATGAGAAGAGTTCCATAAAGTGAGACCAACCAAGAACATTCAACAATTAGAGAGGAGGAGCAGAAGGCAGCTCCAGCAAAGGAGACCGAGGAGTGGCCAGGCAGGGTGGCAGACACCTGGATATAGTCAAAAACATTTTCCAGAAGGGAGGCAGGCAAAGCTAATCTATGATGACAGAAATCAAAAGGTGGTTGGGGGGATAGACTGAAAAGGGTCATAAGGGAACTTTCTGGGGTGATGCAAATGTCCACATATAGCACATAAATATAAAACCAATGTAACCGAATATCTAGTATCCATACTTTTTATTATATAAATTACACCTAAATTTAAAAATAGAAGAATGACAATGATATAGGTTGAATTGTCCCTCTCAAAATTCACATGCTAAAGTCCTAACCCGAAGTATCTCAGAATGTGACTGCTTTTGAAGATGGGGTCTTGACAAAGGTGATTAAGTAAAATGAGTCATTAGGGTAAGCCCTAATCCAATACAACTGGTGTCCTCATAAAAAAGAGAAATTGGACATAGAGATGCACACAAGGACAATGCCATATGAAGATGAAGGTAGAAGTCTCGGTGAAGCTTCTGCAAGCCAAGGGAGGCCAAAGATTGCCAGAGTTTTAAACACCTATAGTGGGGGAGAGCACAGAGCAGATCCTCTCTCAGAGCCCTCAGAAGGAGCCGGCTCTGCTGTCACCCTGATCTCAGACTTCTAACCTCCAGAATTAGGAGAAAATAAATTTCTGTTGTTTAAGCCACCTAGTTTGTGGTTACTATGTTATGGCAGCCCTAGGAGCTAATACTCCCACATCTTCAAATTCCTTTCTCTATACCCCTTCTCATGCTCGCTTCCTCCCATTTCAGAGGAAGGACCATCCATTCCTTGGTCTAAGTCTAACCCTTCTGCCATGAACACAATCCTGCCAACCTTCTCCTGAAGACTGTAAACCTTGCCCCAGTTCAGTCGTTGATATTCAACCTGTTCTATTTAAAACTAGTAAATTATTCAAATCTTCCCATTTAAAAAGAACGAAAAAAAATTTAAGACCCAGCAGCTCCTCTGACTACTTTCTTCCCTGCCCTTCAGCTTATGCCCTGTCCCAAATTACCCCATATTTAGCTTCTCGTTCCTCGCTTCCCACTCCTTCATTCCATTATAGTCAGGACTCTGACCTACCTGCCAGTGAAACAGCTCGACAGAGGTCACCAAGGCTGCGACTTCAAAAGACCTCCCTTGATGCCCCCTCACATTCCCTTTCCACAGTATCTGGCCATGCCAATCACTGTCTTACAACGCCCCGTGACATCATTCTCTTATGTCTTTCTTTCCTCCGGCCGGGCCTTCTCACGTCTCTTTTCCTCTGCCAACCTGTAAACGTTGGTGTTCTTCAAAGTTCTATCCCTGGCGATGTCTTTTCTCATTCTCAAGTAGGGTTGGGAATGGAGGATTTCAAACAACACTGTTTGAAAGTGTTGTTTCGCTTCCCCCATCTCATCCCACAGCCCCCCATTTCCAAATGTGGGCTCTTTCAAAGGCAGTGACCCTGTCTATCCTGTTTACCACAGTGCCTGGCACATATAAGACTGCAATAAAAACTGAATGAATAAATAAATGAGTGAGTGAATATCACTGCTGCAGTAAGCTACTGGGTATGGGCCTGTCCCCTCCAACTATTGACTGGGCAGTGATACCTTACAGCCTCTGAGGCTACTTAAACTCAGTACGTCCAAAATTAAATCTTCCCCCAGCTCCATTCCCAATCTCAGTGAATATCACCATTTATTCCAGTCAATCCCAAATTAGATACCCGGTAGTCCTAACTTTCTGACTTCTCTTAATCGACAGGAAAACAAAAAATTCTACTGAGTCGACCTCCTTGTAACCTTCCTCGCATTTATCCTCTGCTCCTGTGCCAGTTGAGGCCCTCATAATCTTTCACCTGGACTGCGGCAATACTTCCTTTCTAATCTTTCTGCTCATCCCTTTCAACGCTAAACACTAAAGCCAGTGTGCATGTCCTCATGTGCACAGCTGAGCACCTCATTCTCTACACCTCTTCATGCCTCCCCACCCTCTTTCCACGTCTTGAGCCCACAGTGAGGCATACATCACACGCTGTGCTTGCAGCTGTACTTGTGCCCACGCCTCCTCCTTCTATTTGGAATGCTTCCCCACCACCACACTTCATCCACATCTGGCAAACTCAGTTCAGGCATCACATCCCAGCTACATTTGTAATACCAATACACCCCTCGCCTACTTGTATCACAGTACCTATTGCATGTTATTCCACCTGCTTACATGTCTCTCTCTATAAGCCTATAACACACTGGAAGGCAGGAAACACATTTTTTGAACTTATATAAACCCTGTGAATAATACACCACCAGGTAAGTACTCAGTAATACTGACAAATATTTATTCAACAAATAACTGATTAATTGGCTCCAAAGCTTGTGTTATTTCTACCATACTACCATGCTGCTGTACTACCATAAGCACAAAAAAATACACACCAGGCATGGCCAGTTCAAGTAAAACCAAGCTCTTATCTAGAAAAAGTTTTAAAGAAAACACTGAAGTTGGAAAGTTTAAGTAAATATTTTAATATCTCAATTTAAAAGGAAATGGCAGCAAGTAGCAGAGATCTACCATCTTCTAGGAGACTCAGGAAAGGCCTTCCTAGGGAAGTTGTATCATAGATATGTGGGATTTAATCTACAAATAGGAATGGGAGAGTGATCCAGAAGAAACTGTACGAGCAGAGTAGAAAGATCTCAAGGGAGGGAGAGGGGGAAATTATGGGAAAAGACGCTAGAGAAGTAACTACTGGTCAGACTGAGGAAATTTATTACAAACATGGTCAACACTAGATTTTGCCCTAAAAGCAACAGAAATTGAAGAATTTTAACCAAGGGAGCAACATAACCATGTTTGTGTGTTCAGACGCACAGCTCTGGCTGCAGAGCAAGGAACAGACTGGATTGGGACAAGTCAGGTGCCAGGTAGGAGAGTTAGGATGTAAGAGAGGAGAGTGGTTCTGGGCTGGAAAACAGTGGGAATGAAGTTTCAGATAAGCATAGACTAAGAACTCAAGACTTTTTAGAGGTGATGGTGGACTGGATCCAGAGTGCAGGAAGAGGAACTGTTATTCTTGAATCAGAAGGCTGGAATTATAGCACTGATCACTTCATAGCTGTGTAAATTCACACAATACATAGAACTCTCCCAGGCTTATTTTTTCAGCTCTCTGGAGAAGCAATCCGATCAGCAGTTAGGGATGAAGACTAGAGTCAGACTGACAAGAGTCAGATTAGCCACTTACCAGGCTTCTAATGCAAGGCTATTTACTTCACATCTCTGGGCCTCTCTAGCAAAATGGGGGTAAAAATAGCACTTATTTCAGAGGATTAAATAACATAACGCATGTTATGGTTAAACAGAGCCTGCTACATTAGCAAGTGCTCAGGGAATGCTGGCTCCTTGATATTTACTTTTCATGGTTAAAATACAGTTTTGCGGTGGGGCGCGGTGGCTCACGCCTGTAATCCCAGCACTTTGGGAGGCCGAGGTGGCGGATCACGAGGTTAGGAGTTCGAGACCAGCCTGGCTAACACAGTGAAACCCCTTCTCTACTAAAAATACAAAAATTAGCTGGGGATGATGGCGGGCATCTGTAATCCCAGCTACTTGGGAGGCTGAGGCAGGAGAATGGCGTGAACCTGGGAGGCGGAGCTTGCAGTGAGCTGAGATCGCGCCACAGCACTCCAGCCTGGGTGACAGAGCGAGACCCCACCTCAAAAAAAAAAAAACACACACACACACACACACACACAGTTTTGCCTGATGAAGATCAGCAGCCTATTGCATGCACTCATAGACTGAATCTGACGAACTGCTAATCCAATTTCCTTGTCAAATTATTATAAAGAGGTTTTGTTTTCTTTTCCTCGAGACAAGGTCTCATTCAGTCACCCAGGCTGGAGTGCAGTAGCACAATCACAGCTCACTGCTGCCTCGACCTTCCAGGCTCAAGTGATCCTCCCACCTCGGCCTCCTGAGTTGCCGGGACAACAAGTGCACAGCACCACACACGGCTAATTTTTGTATTTTTTGCAGAGATAGCGTTTTGCCATGTCGCCCACGCTGGTCTCAAACTCTTGAGCCCAAGTGATCCGCTCGCCTTGGCCTCCCAAACTGCTGGTATTACCGGAGTGAGTCACCACGCCTAGCCAACGAGGTTCCTATAATCCGACAGATTTACTGATCATATCGCTTTCCTGCTTAAACCCTTCAAAAGCTCTGCTCCAAGACAAAGTCCAAGCTCTGTCAGATGTTTATTGAAACTTTTCATAATCAAGACCCTTACTTAACCCTGTCTTTTATCTCTCCTCCTCTATTTTTCTTCACTCTAATACTACTGGATTTACTTTCCTTCCTCAAAAACATCCAATGGTCTTGCCGAGGAGGTTTCAAGTATCTTATTCTCTCTCCCTGAAATCTCTCCTTTGCTATCTTCTCCGGTCACGTCTCCCTATTCCACGTCAGTGTAGATTTTGAGGCTCAGAGAGGTTATGATATGTGCCTTATCAGATAACAAAACATGTCGACAGCCGTACTTCATTGGGCAGCTCGCTGTGGGACAGCTGTCCTTAACTTCTGAGAATCTGATGAAAGCTATGGAGTCTCTCCCTGAGAAAACACACAGGCAAATTCTTTAGTAAATATTCAGGGCGTTTAAAATTTCCCTGCAACCCAAACTTGAACTTCAGGTTAAAAGGCAAGATGACTAGCTTGGAATTCAGACGATCTGGTTTTACCCCCACAGCCAGCTGGGGTGCCTCATGCAAGCGGCCAGAGCTCCCTGGCCCCCAGGGTCCTTTGTAAGACTGCAAACATGCAATACGTCCCCCACAGTTAAGTGCGAGGGCCGGTCCTCCCCACGCACACCTATGCTGGAAGAGCTCCAACCCGAGAGCCAGCCGCGGGGCTTCTCGACCCCCGCAGCGGCTGACAGCTCCTCTGGGCTCAGCCTTCACTCGCGCACGCGGATGCCGGCTCTGGAAAAAGACTGGCACGCGCGACGCTCTGAGCATGCGCAGATGCCCGGCGCATGCGCACAAACCCCCAGCCCGCCCCTTAGCGGCCCGGCACTCCGGGCAACGCCCCCTCAGGGCGCATCCAGGACCCTGACGCTCCATGAGTGCCTGGCACTCACCTCTACAGTCGGGATCGGCGCAGCCAGCTGCTCCGGAGTCAGGTTCCCAAACTCCTCCGCTAGCACGTCCATGCTGCTCACGAAGGAGGAAGAAGCAGATAGAACCTCCGCGCCCGCCTTCCCTGCACCAAGCGAACTGCAAGACTCCCAGAGAACGGTGCGCGGAGGCCTAAACTGTCCCCGCCGTGTTAGCTAGAGACGCGGTAGAAAGGTTCCGCCTGCTCCCTGCCCGAATCTGCGGTGGAACCCGGATGTGGCCGAGGCCGAGTAGGGAAACTGCGCCCCCTGGTGTAGCTCAGAGGTCTGGCGCGGGGAATCCTAAGCCCCAGCTGTCAGGTTTCTTGCCAATTCTCTGATAATTGAGACCAGGAAAACATAGTGGTTGTCATTTTAAAAGTAATCCGAAGAAAAGTGTAAACGCATAATTTACCCAACTTGAACCACTGAGGCAGAGAATTGTTTAATGTAGTCCAAAATTATATGCGTTGTTTAGTATGGAAGAGCAGGAAACGTCCCAAATGCCTACTAATAGGAGATAGATTAAATAAATGATGGTACATGCGCGTGATGGAAGAGTGTTCAAAATTCTCAAAAGCACTGATGGAAGATGTAGGAGTAAATACCAGTGTATGGAGAAATTTAGTATGAAAAGATGACATTTACGTTAGTAGGGGAAGGATGGCCTGTCCAGTAAATAATGTTTGAAGAGCTGATTACCCATTTGGGGAAAACACATGTAAGTGAAACCTTTGTGGATTAAATATTGAAATGTTAACAAAAACTTAGAAGAAAATGTAAGTGCAGATATTCATAACGTTGAGATGATGAAAGTTTTCAAGACAGCAACAGTCAAGTCATAAAGGATTTCATAATATAATTCTAAACACGATTTTATGATTCCACGGAAAATTTTTAATTCTCTGAACAGAATTTTTAAAATCGCCAATGAATAGAATTAATAAAAAAATAAATTGGCAGAAGACAAAGGGCTGGTCTCTCTAATTTACAATGAGCTCATACAAATCAATGGAAAGAAAAATCCTATTAGAAAAAACAAGGCAAAGTGCACCAATTAATTAATGGGTACGGAGTTTCGATTTGGGAAGATGCAAAAATTCTGTAAATGGATAGAGGTGATGGTTGCAGAACAATGTGAACGTATTTAATGCTGCTGACCTGTACATCATTTTAAAGGGTTAAAATGCTACGTTTTATGTATATTTTAGAACAATAAGAAAAGCTATGAAAATTTGTAAGTACATGTATGCTTTCCAATTTCTCCCTCATAAAGGTAGAACCCTTGCACCAGGTTAATTATTCTTATTTCCTAAAGAGCTACTTAAATTTCAGTACTTGTATTTTCTAAGTGTTGCACTGACATCTGAAATATGAGAAGAATGGGAAAAAGACCAAAAGTAGAATCAACCCTGCCTTTGAAGTTCTTACAATTTACTTATTATGGAGACAAGATACAACTTGTGTCTCATCCTTGTGCATTACCAGATTGCAACCGATTTAGCATCTAGCCTGGAAGGGACTGCGAAAGTGATTTATAGATGGCAGAGGATCTCAAGGTTGGCTCAAGTGTGTTGGTTGTCTGTGCCAAAGTCTTCTTTGCTTTCCATTATCAAGGTGGTTCTCCAACTTTAGGGTGTATCAGAATCACCTGGAGAGCTTGTTAAACCATTCTCAGCTTTCTGATTGGTAAATTGGGGCTGAAAGTTTGCTTTTTTTTTTTGAGATGGAGTCTTACTCTGTCGTCCAGGCTGGAGTGCAGTGGCATGACCTTGGCTTACTGCACCCTCCCAGATTCAAGCGATTCTCCTGCCTCAGCCTCCCGAGTAGCAGGGATTACAGGCACGTGCCACCATACCTAGGTAATTTTTTTTTTTTTTTTTTTTTTGATTAGAGACGGTGTTTTGCTGTATTGGCCAGGCTGGTCTCAAACTCCTGACCTCAGGTGATCCGCCTGCCTCGGCGTCCCAAAGTGCTGGGATTACAGGCATGAGCTAGCGTGGTCTTGGCTCACTGCAACCTCAGCCTCCGAGGTTCAAGCGATTCTCCTGCCTTAGTAGCTGGGACTACAGGCATGTGCCACCACACCCAGCTAAACTTTTATTTTTAGTAGAGACGGGGTTTCACCATGTTGGCCAGGCTAGTCTTGAACTCCTGACCTCAAGTGATCCACCTGCCTCGGCCTCCCAAAGTGCTAGGATTACAGGCATGAGCCACCACACCCGGACTGCAAATTTGCATTTTTAGTAAGTTCCCTGCTGCTGCCTTCTAGTGATTATGCATTGGAAATCACTAACCTAAGACTTATCACTTAATGCCATATCCTCTTTTTATGTGTCTAATTATCCAGACTGAGCTCTTGGTACAGGAACTATTTTGTTTGTCTTTGTATTTCCAACTTCTAACCCATCAGTTGTTCCTGAATATATTTGTGTAGAATAAGTGAGTTGAAAGAAAAAATTGCAACGGGTGATGTTTGATATTATACTCACTTTTGAAGAATCCGGATTGCTTCTAGTTTCTCTTCAAAAGCAGGAGGCTCCTGTAGCCATGGTCCCAAAGTCCTATATGGCAACAATTGGCTAATGCTGAATGGTGTTGGCCCTTAGACCATAGCTGCCACAGTCCCTTACAGTCCTTCCCCCAGGTCAAATCTATAACTTCTTCCTGATACCCTGAGGAACTGGAGTTTTGAAACCAAGAAGCCAGGAATAGTCTCATGATTTCTTTGTTTTCTGCTGCCATGTCATTTTCCTGAGGTATTAGTACAAAAAGACCAGTGGTTTGAATAGAGGGGTGGGAAATTAGGGAAAAGAGATCACAAGGCCGGGCTCAGTGGCTCACGCCTGTAATCCCAGCACTTTGGGAGCCCGAAGCAGTGGATCACGAGGTCAGGAGTTTGAAACCAGCCTGGCCAACATGGTGAAACCCTGTCTCTACTAAAACTACAGAAATTAGCCTGAGGTGCTGGCACACACCTGTAATCCCAGCTACTCGGGAGGCTGAGGCAGGAGAATTGCTTGAACCTGGGAGGCAGAGGTTGCAGTGAGCTGAGATTGCGCCATTGCACTCCAGCCCCTGGGCAACAAGAACTAAACTCTGTCTCAAAAAAAAAAAAAAAAAAAAAAAAAAAAAAAAAAAAGAAGAGAGAGATCAGATCACAGAGGGAAAAATGGTTAACATCTTGGAATACTATCTTATCACTTAATGTATAATGGCTTATGGTAGCCAGATGAAAAATTGACCATTGTCATGGAGGAATAGGGGATCTTGTTTAAGGGAGAGCAAGGAAAAAGGAAAGGCAGAGGTATACAATCTGGGCCCTGAAATACTAGGGAGAACTTCTGTTTACAGAGTGTTTACTCTTTGTCAGGCATTGCAATGACCACTTGATGTGCATTCTCTAAGTGAGTGTTCAACCCCAGGGGATGAATATGATAATTGCCACTTGACAGGTAAAGAGACTAAGGCTCACAGGGGTTCAGAAACTTGCCCAAGCAGAGCTGGAATTTAAATCCGTAATTATTTGACCCCAGAACCCATGTTTTTAACCACTCTATCATAATGCCATACCAAAAGCATAGGGTAGCGGAAAACATTTCAAGTAGAGAAACACAGCATGAGCAATGGCATGAGGGCATTAGAGTACATTATACCACATCCTGACAATTGAGTGTGGTTCTCACATAGGGCTTTTCAAGGGACGTGTCTGTAGATGACACTAGAAAGATCCACTGGAGCTGTACCATCACGGACTGTTATGCCCTGTAAAAGAAATTAGACCGTGTTCTGAGAGGCTTCAACATGAAGATGCCAGAGACAAAAGAAAAAGATTATCCTCCCTTCTTGACACCTTGATGCATTCAGACTGGAAAAAAGATATATATGGTTGATTTCTATGTCTCAATTAATTCATAATAGAACTAGAGAAGACCAGAAACAATGTCAGAGAAAGAATAAGGACTCTTCAGTCTCAAAAGGCAAGAGCAGAGGGAGAACCCTTGAAGTCAGAGAACATTCTGCATTTTAAGCAAGACTGGATAGTCCGAAAACTTTGAGCTGCCTGCCATGCCCCCAGATCCTTCTTTGTGTGATGTGATCATATTATCCTGTCAGAACCAATAGGGCCAGGTACCTGCCCAAGACAGCTATGTGGGCTGGATTTAAGGGATGAAGTGGCTTATCATGAGAACCCTATCCAATGTGGAGTTTGAGGGATATCTAAACTGATGCATGGCGAGCAAACTCAATCATATTCACTCTCAGGACACTTTTAATGAAGACACCCCAAAGGGGAGGGTAGCAACAGAAGCTGAGAAGTAAATGCCAAGTCAGCCTTTGGTATCAGCACCACAGAGATACCTTTTTTGTTTTTTTCAGAGAGGGTCTTGCTCTGTCACCTAGCTCACTGCAGCCTTCAACTCTTGGGCTCAAACAATCTGCCTGCCTCGGCTTCCCAAAGTGCTGGGATTACAGGAGTGAGTCATTGTGCCTGGTCTGAGAAATACTTTTCTTTTTTTCTTTTTCTTTCTTTCTTTCTTTTTTTTTTTTTTTTTTTTTTTGAGATAGCATCTCACCCTGTCGCCCAGGCTGGAGTACAGTGGCGCAATCTCGGCTCACTGCAACCTCCACCTCCCAGGTTCAAGTGATTCTCGTGCCTCAGCCTCCCAAGTAACCGGGATTACAGACCTGTACCACCACGCCTGGCTAATTTTTGTATTTTTAGTAAAGATGGGATTTTACCATGTTGGCCAGGGTGGTCTCAAATTCCTGACCTCAGGTGATCTACCTGCCTCAGCCTCCCAAAGTGCTGGGATTACAGGCGTGAGCCAGCAGGTCCGTGGCCCTGAGAAACACTTTTGAAGGATGGCACACATTCCAGAGTGAGACTCCTTGGGTTCAAATACACTTACCAGCTCTGTGACATTGTTCAAGTTCCTTAGCCTCTCTGATTCTCATTTTCCACATATTGAAATGAGGGAGCCTGCCTCCCAATGTGCTGTGCAGTTATATGATATCTACATAAAGTGCTTCGGGTAGTCCCTGCCATAGGGTAAGTGCTCAGTGGCTATTAATATTTTTTTATTATATTCTGAAAGAGAATAAAGACTATATTCAGGTTCACCACATCTACAAATACAGCTGCTGAGACAAATTCCTGGATTTCCTTTTTACTTCATAAAAGTTTACAATAAATCCCTCTGTTCCTTTCCCTTGAAATCTGAAAGAAGCTAACATAGTAAGTTTAGAAATGAAAAGGTAAAGCCTCACTCTGAAAACAGAACAAGAGGACACAAGTTGATAGTACAAATATACCTTTCGAAAGATTAAAGTAAATCGTAGAGGATAATGTTATAATTGATTACTAAATGGAATTAGAACATGTTGGGTTTTGTCGCTAGCCTTTGAAGTTGACATCAAGGACAATAACCGCAGCCTTCTGCGTACCCTTGGGTTTCTCCGCCAATGACAATATTGGGCTTAATGAACCATGGTTCTGATGAGATACGAAAATTTTTGTTCTTATGTACTTAAGTATTTGATCATCACATCTCCAAATACTAAAACCCCTTGAAGCTTGAAAGAGATTTAGGACTCATAAATTATAGTTATTATAATGTATTCTGGCTACATTGTGCTTTAGAGTTTGCAGACAATTTCAAATATGTCTCATTTTATTTTCACAATAACTGTGAGGTAGGCAGATAGTAGGGTAGGGAAGTAGGGTGGAAAATTGAGGTTTGGCGAGATTAAAAGACTGGCTCACGTTCATATAGCTGTGAAGTAGTAGGAGTGAATTCAAACTAAGTTCTTACGACTCTTAGTCCCATGCTTTTACAGAACAATTAGTGGAAAATTTTTGGAACTGAACATCCCCAGAGGTAGAACAGGCTGAACTTCAGTCTTGAGAAAGATGCGACTGAAAAGTCAAAATATGTTGCACAAAGGAGGCACTCCCCATTCCTATAGCACACTTAGCCAATCAATCACAGAACTCATTAGTGATTCTCCTGGGTCTGACTTTCAAATCCTCCCCTTTCTCGGGAGTTACCACTGAAAGATCAGGCACATGATTGTAAACCTATTTTCATAAAGAGAACGTTCACTGGCAGGGACCTGAAGTGGAGACAGCTAATGCTTACCAACAATATCCATGATCGCCTTTCTCGTGGGCACTTTTTCCAGCCTCCCTTGCAGTAAGGTGAGGTCACATTATTGAATTCTGGACAATGGAACATGAGTGGAAGTGGGCAGTCTTTTTCCTTCCCTATCAGCTGAGCGAATGAAGACTCAGAGGACAGTGGAGTCATGACATGGATGGAAGTTGGGTCTCTGGATGGCTGAATGGAAGACCCATCCCCCAACTCCACCCTACCCCCTGCTTTGAACTGTGCTTTGAGAATTTAGCTTATGAGACCACTGAGACTTGGGGGCTGTTTGTTCAGCAGTTCGCCTACACTTATTAAGAAAGGTTGACTTCTTGTAACTACGCCTTTCCTTAAATCATCTTTTGTATAATTCTCAGAAGCACTGCTGGTTTGGGTGGTCTCCTGACACGTTTCTCACATGCAAATTTTAAAGATTTCATGAATGATCATTACAGTGGATTTATTTTTCTCTTTCTGCCTCTCAGCATGCCCTCTCAATTTGGGAGAAATCCCTAATTGGATGACTTTGGTGGGACCACAGGAGTGTAAGGATCATAATTCCCCTCCCTCACTCCATCCCCTGCAAATTAGAGCCTGGGCACTTGACTTAAGACTCACTCAACTGAATTTTCATATGTGGGACTTTAGATATTAAGCAAATGAGGCAAAGAAAGAAAGACCGTTGAGAAATCAATATCTGAAGCCGCAGCACTGATTCTAGTGTGGCTGTACTCCTGCAGCTTGCATCACCTTGGTTCCTGTCCATTTTCCAAACCTGGTTCCTCTCTGATTACCTAGATTCTGTGAGGTACTTCACGCCCGTCCAATAAACTCCTTTTCTGCTTCAGTTAACCAGAGTCCATTTCAGTTGCTGCTATCATGTCTTCACGTGTGAGTACATGTAAGCATACATACACTAGACATAGGAATATTTTAGCATCCACAAGTGTTGTCAGGGCAATCTTTCCAAAGCATAGATTTGTTTGTGACCTTCTCCTGTTTCAAGAGATGCAATGATTCTTTTTCCTTTTCAGGACAACCCCTGCCCCCCACCCAAATTTTAGCATGGCATCCGATAACCTTTTCGTCTTTCTTGTTTCACCTCTTATCACTTTTTTTTTTTTTTAAAGACGAAGTCTCCCTCTGTCTACAGGCTGCAGTGCAGTGACACGATCTCGGCTCACTGCAACCTCCGCTTCCTGGGTTCAAGTGATTCTCCTGCCTCAGTCTCCCGAGTAGCTAGGATTACAGGTGTCTGCCTCCACGTCCAGCTAATTTTTGTATTTTTAGTAGAGAGATGGGGTTTTACCATGTTGGCCAGGCTGGTCTCGAACTCCTGACCTCAAGTAATCCACCTGCCTCAGCCTCCTGAAGTGCTGGGATTTCAGGTGTGAGCCACCGTGCCTGATCACCTCTCATTCATCACTTTCATTCTTCCATCTTACTCTGATCCCTGGCTCACCATTTCTCCATACTGTTGTACTTACTGTGCACTTGGTCTGTTGTGTTTTTTCCTTTTGTGGCCTCTTGGCAAGTTCCTATGTATCTCTCGTGTTTTAGCTAAAGAATTATCTTCTTTATGAAATAGAGTTTGACCATTTTCTCCCTAGCACTATGCTTTTTTTTTTCTTTTTTGAGACAGGGTCTTGCTCTGTTACCCAGGCTGGAGTGCAGTGGCGCAATCTCGGCTCACTGCAACTTCTGCCTCCCAGGGTCAAGCGATTCTCCTGCTTCAGCTTCCCAAGTAGCTGGGATTACAGGCATGTGCCACCACACCTGGCTGATTTTTGTATTTTTAATAGAGACGGTGTTTTGCCAAGTTGGCCAGGCTTGTCTCGAACTCCTGGCCTCAAGTGATGCATCTGCCTTGGCTTCCCAAAGTGCTGGGATTCAGGCATGAGCCATTGCGCCCAGCTTTATTTTTTAACCCTCATTAGACTTTATTTTAACTGTTCACAAGTTTGTCCTTCTCACTAGATTACAAAGTTCTTGAAGACAGTGTTTTATCATCTATGTATCACAACCACTGGGATACTTCTTGGCAGGCACACAGCACATGCTCAATAGGTGTTTGTTGACTCAATGAATGAATTGTGAATAAACATGACTTGATGTCTGTAAGGCTCTGATGGTCAGCACAAGAATCATTCTAAAGACTATCCAATAAAAACTATCCAATATTCCAGCCCCAGGCTACCCAGAAGTGGCTTAGAAAACAGAGACACTGGCTATCTTGAAATAATTTTTAATGTTTTAAAATTTAGTAAGTGCACACAATACATGTTTTAGCAGAAGAATGAAAATGTGTGTATGACATTTAATACAAATTTACATTACAAAATGAGACCATGTTAGGAAAACATTAAAAGTAGAAGTAAACATTTAAGTAAAAACCAAATAAACAACATGCTAAGGGATACAATTTTTAAAATCCTAGTAAATGTAGTTGCCTAAATCCAGACTTGAAACACTGAGATTTACTTTGCCACTTAAAAAAAAAAAAAAAAAAAAGCAGAATGCCCTTCATTTTAAATGCATTTAAAAAAATGTTTGTACATTGTTTTCCTGCTGGCCACTGTAGTATAATCGAGTATATAAAAGAGGATAAGCTGGATTCAAATCCGGTAATAAAGAAGTACACCACCTGTTAAGTATACAGTTCACCCCAGAAAGCAACAACAAAAAAATCACACTACATATTACCTTTCTACTGTCAGATTCTCCCTGATGCCCATGCCCCAAAGACAGAACAGCTGAGAACTCCTTCAGCTTAAGAGAAAACCAAATGTCTTCAGCACCTTATAGTTTCTGTGCATAGGAAAACGTGGGCAGAAGAGGACTGCAGGAAGAGAAAAAAATAGCTAAGACCAATGGTGTACTCTTTAGTAAAACTCCACTTGCATGCAGCAGCTTCCGTGGAGACAACGGCTAATGTATTGGGCATTGTGAGAAAAAAAAAAAAATGACGTTCATAATTTCCTCAAATTTTGGCAGATTTCCCCAAATACAAACAATGGAGACAATTTATTCACACAATCACTTCCTAAAACTTCATAAAATAACGAAGTAACACCGTAATGGTGAAGGTTGTAGTGAGGAAAAGAAGGTTGGGGAAGAAAGGAATACTCCTTTTCATTTTCTACCCACTCTACCTCACCAAATTACTAGGGCTCAATTGAGTCCTTAGCAAACAAAACAATCAAAAATGTATTTTATGCAAATGAAGCTCCTTTCAGACCAAGTACCTCCCAACTGTAGTGCTTCCCTCAGCACTCCAAGAAGAGTAATTCCAGGATAAGCAGATTTCTCTAAAGTCTCAGTGATCACTAGTGCCCAACTTTGCAAGGTTTGATTTAATGCTCAAGAATGGCAAATGAGGCCAGGCGCGGTGGATCATGCCTGTAATCCCAGCACTTTGGGATGCCGAGGCAGGCAGATCACGAGGTCAGGAGATCGAGAACAGCCTCACCAACATGGTGAAACCCCGTCTCTAGTAAAAATACAAAAATTAGCTGGGTGTGGTGGTGCATGCTTATAATCCCAGCTACTTGGAAGGCTGAGGCAGGAGAATCACTTGAACCCAGGAGGCAGAGGTTGCAGTGAGCCGAGATTGCACCATTGCACTCCAGCCTGGGCAACAGAGTGAGACTCCATCTCAAACAAACAAGCAAACAAACAAAACCCACAAAACAAGAATGCAAATGAGGCTGGGCTCGGTGGCTCATGCCTGTAATCCCAGCACTTTGGGAGGCCGAGGCGGGTGGATCACGAGGTCAGGAGTTCAAGACAAGCTTGGCCAACATGATGAAACCCTGTCTCTACTAAAAATACAAAAATTAGCCAGGCGTGGTGGCAGGCGCCTGTAGTCCCAGTTACTCGGTAGGCTGAGGCAGAAGAATTGCTTGAACCCAGGCGGCAGAGGTTGCAGTGAGCTGAGATCACACCACTGCACTCCAGCCTGGGTGACAAAGTGAGACTCTGTCTCAAAAAAAAAAAAAAAAAAGCAAATGATAATGATCCTTAGAAGAACATCTTGGTCATAACACAGTAAAGCTTTCATCAGCACAAAAGACGTCTGCTACTTAAGTTATATGGGTAAGAAATCCAAAGTTTAACTGTTTCTTTTTCAGATATGAACTTCATGGAGAACGGGTATCATTGACTGCCTTTCTTCTTCTTACAAGTAAACCAAATGAGCCCTGCCTCACATAAAAATATTAAATTCTTATATAAACCTTATCAATGGCCTGAGAAATGCAAGGACATTCACTAAGAGATTTGTGCAAAAATTGTTTTTCTTGGAGAGCAGGATAAATTGTAAGAAGAAACAAACTTCTAGAATACTTTGAGAAGGGAGTTGCTTCTATTTTCACTAAACAAACAAGGGAGGTTTTATCTAAAGTTTGTATGTAGCATAAAAATGTACTTAATACATTCAAATTCTAAATAAATACTGACCATTGGTATTATAAAGTGTGATTTGGTACATTTGTGTAATTTGAGGACTTACTTTGTAAGTTTCTGTTAACACATTAATAAAATGTAATTGTACATTTCAAATACAATTATGTTTACTTCACATCATTTATTCAGAACATCAATTCCCTCAGTTATTCTCACAACCTTCAACCCTTTAAGGAGTTGTACCAAAATTAAAAATCATTAGGTTTGATAATGACAAGTGAGAAAAACAGCTCCTTATGGGTTGAATGTCATAAGCCAAATATAAATGGTTAAGAAAACATTTACAAGTATTATACAGGTAATATAGTTCATTACAAATTGTTTTCTGTTCATTACAAATGTCTGTTTTAAACTTGAAAATGATGCACAAATAGGGTCTATGTGATGTTTGTGTCTTCTGAGGGTCTATGTGATGTGTGTGTCTTCTGTAATGCTAATATTACCCATTACACAGATTTGGGCTAATACTGCACCACAGTACTGAGAATGTGCTGGATCTCTAATGCCATCAATGGAAGTGGACTGGATACCAAAGTGCTGGATTTCCAATCTCTCATCCAATGTCAGTTCTTCTTTAGTGAGTAGGAGGTGAAGCATCTACCTTCCCCATGGCTTCCTCATTGAAGAGCAGCTTTCGAAGTATATTTGCATAAAATGGTCCATACACTTGTTTGTTAAGATTCACAATGTTTGCATATTGACAGCCTAGGGCTTCTAGCTCCTGCTGAATGACAGCTAGGCCTCCTGGCATAGGAGGCATGCATTTTTGAGGGCTTGGAAGACAAAGTAGGCTTTTCATGTAAAGCTTAATTCGTTTATCTGAAGGAAAAAAGAAAGATACCTTTATCTGTCCATTATTAAAGTACGTACTTTTTAAAAACAAGAACAAGTAAGTGTAATAGGTTGACTGCAATAATGTTCCCTATTCTTTACCCCTCCCTGTACCCATCCCCTTTCTAAGGTAGCTTTGCAGCTCCTCCTATCAAAGGCTGGAGTGTTTTCCCCATCCTTTTTATCTGGTTGGCTCTGTGACTGACTTTGGCCAATACAGAATGCGGTGGAAATGCCAGAGTACCAGTTTCATGCCTTGGCCTCAAGAGGACACTCTTGTTCATGTCCACTCTCTACCTACTACGGCCATGAGAATAAGCCTGGGCTTGCTGGAGGATGAGAGATCAAGGAGAGGGAAACCCAGCTGTTCCATCTGAGGCTATCCTAGACCAGTGCATAGCCGACCAGCATTCAATCACCTGAGAAAGTCCAGCCAGGATCAGCAAAGCTGCCACCCTGAGCCACAGCTGATCCACAAATACATTAGTGAATTCAGCAAGACCAAAAGAGTCACCCGGTTGCCTCACAGACTGGTGAGTAATAATAAATGCTTATTTTTTTTAAGCTTAGGAGTTTTGTGGTATTTTGTTTTGCAGCAATAGCTGACTGATAAAAAATGCAGAGCCCTATTTGGGGGGAATCTTTTACAAAAGTTAATCCTAAATGTTCATGATTGTAATTACATACACTAAAGCTGAGTTTGTAAACTAGCATTGCCAGTCTGGCTCATGCAGTGTCTTTTTTAAAAACAGAAGCCATTTAAAATCAGAAGATTTCACATAGAAATCCACATTTCTGCTTTCTCTTGAAAAATCTAGAGATCTGGCAAACTTGGGGGCCCAAATTACCACACGGCAAGGGGGACCACACATGTAGGTTTCCTCAGGACAGTCAAAATTTACACCTGTTTGGCATAATTTTAAAAAGAGACTCTCAAAAGTACCCGGGTTGAACAATAAATTACATGGTGCCAGGCGTAGTGGCTCACACTTATAATCCCAGCACTTTGGGAGGCCAAAGTGGGAGGATCTATTGAGCCCAGGAGTTCGAGACCAGCCTGGGCAATAAAGTGAAACTTCGTCTCTACAAAAAAAAATTAAAAATTAGCCAGGCATGGTGGTGCATGCCTATAGTCCCAGCTACTTAGGAGGCTGAGTTGAGAGGACTGCCTGAGCTCATGAGGCTGCAGTGAACTGTGATTATGCCACTGCACTCCAGCCTGGGCAACAGAGGGAGACTCTATCTCAAACATAATTAATTAATACTAAATAAGTTACAGGGCACTTCACACATGGCCAAGAATCAGGAGACACCAAGGAAGGGCCACCCCAACTAGCACACCATTGTGCCACTTTCCCTGCCCTTCCTGCATCACTGCCTCGAAGTATCTGAGTTTGACATGACTACACAAAAGCACAGAAATGCATATGGAAATCAGGCTGCAATAGCATGGGACAACTATTAGTAATACTGGACAGAAAAGACCTGCTATAGCTCAGGCTGCTCCAAGGGCTTTCTCTGGCTTTGGGAGCAGAAACCTCACCAATAAGAAGGTTTACTAAGGAAAATATGCCACATTGAATATGGACAACTATGATACTACTGAAATTCCTATCACCCAAGAATGCTCACAAAGATCATACATTCCAGCTAGGTGTGCCTTAGAACTTAAGTTTCCAATGTCCATGTCTTAGAATTCTTTCCTTTTACTAGAATGCCATGCCATGCCATCCCACCTCATCTCATCTCTGCCCAGAATCAAAGGCATCCTTCAATGTTGTGCCAAAAGTTACCTCCTTTCTGTGACTTTCCTTAGCATCTGTTACCAGACTATCATGACATATGATTGCCAGTTGAGAAGGTGTCTCTCTCCCTTCTTGGACAGTGGACTCTTTGAGTGTGAGGGTTGTATCTTTTTTATCTTTATATTCTTGGTCTGGCATGTGACAGACACATTGTAAATGCTGACTGAACTTAAGTGAGAATGGACTGAAAAGGGTCTATAAAGATAAATAACAAACTGAAAACCATGGCAGCCAGGGGTAAATGGGGACGGAAGAAGGCAAACAAAGGTGACTTAAGCCTTATCTGTAACTTTGTTCTTTTTTTTATACAGACAGGGTCTCCATCTGTTGCCCAGGATAGTCTCAAACTCCTGGCCTCAAGTCATCCTCCTGCTTCGGCCTCCCAAAGTGCTGGGATCACAGACATGAGCCACTGTGCCTGGCCTTTGTCTGTAATTTTTCTACAAGGAGAAATTATTCTGTATCACCTGTACAACTGAAATTACTTGTTAAAAATGTAGATGGCAGGCAGGGTGCGGTGGCTCATGCCTATAATCCCAGCACTTTGGGAGGCCATGGTGGGCAGATCATGAGGTCAAGAGTTTGAGACCAGCCTGGCCAATATGGTGAAACCCCATCTCTACTAAAAATACAAAAAATAGCTGGGCATGGTGGCGTGTACCTGTAGTTCCAGCTACTCGGGAGGCTGGGGCAGAAGAATAGCTTAAACCCAGAAGGCAGAGGTTGCAGTGAGCCAAGATCACGCCACTGCACTCCAGCCTGGGCGACAGAGCAAGACTCCATCTCAGAAAAAGAAGTAGATGTAGGCATGCAAATAATTTACACAGCAGGTAATCCATAATTTTTACTTAGTATGTATTTGAAAGAAAAATCCCTTTCTAATATCTTCAAAAGGTTAAGAATTGTAATGGGAATTGAGGATTGTAATCCCTTCAGTAAATAAATAGCGCATCAATGAGAACAAAAGAGAGCACACTGTGGGTACCCTGAGCAGAGGAAAACCATGGCCAACACTGATGAAGCCCTTCTCATGTTCCAGGAATCTCTCTGTTTAATGTATTCTCACTCTTCTGCAGGCATACATTTAGAGTTAACTGTGTACTACTTTCCCTTTAGACTAGTTGCCTGACACTCAGAGGCCCGGGTCTATATCATCACAGATATGATCCAAACACTTTCCCTTAAGAAGGTTTAAAGAATGAAACCCTTTCAAAATCGTTCTTAAGTCAGCAGGTGGTTCTGTCTCTCCTGCCTCATTTGCAGATGAGTCCATTTTTCGGCAAAGGCTGAAGTGACAGGAGTGTTTGTCCAGTTAGGAGCAGCCACACGGAGTCCCTGCCAAAGGCGTGTCCTTGGCTTCCAGGGTCGAAGGAGAGACGCTCAAGTGAGTCACTTAAGTTGCTAGGGCAACAGTACTTTGAATGAGATTTAAAATGCTTTCAATTTGCAAAAGGACAGGCAAGTTGGACTGGGGAAAGCTGGGTGGACAAAAGTTGCTTTACCAGATTTTAAGAGGCATCTCCTGGCCCTCAGATTCCTTCTGATACTGCAAGCATTTCCCTTACCCAAAGAAAAGGCACAGAGTACACTCGGACACTCTGGCCACTCTGCCAGCAAGCAGCAGGGCTCCAGCTCTGACTGAAGTGCCAGTCAGAGCAGTGAGAAACATGAGCTCTGGAGTCAGACAGGCTGGGGAAGGATCCCTACTCCACCCCCAGCTCGTTATGGGACTTTGAGTCAAAGTTCCTTAACCTCTCCAAGTCTCCTATGCATTCACCCATTTCACAAATATTTATTAAATATATGTGTGGGTGCAGCATTGCACAAGAATATAGCAGTGAACAAACCTGCACACCATCCTCATGAGGACTGCACACTACTGGGGATTTGGCAGTTGGCTGCAGAGACTGCTGGACAGTGTCTCAATCCCCACTCTATCCCTCTTCCTCCTAGAACACCATCTCTCAGGTTTTACCTGTTCAGCTGGGACGGCATGCTCTGAGGACAGACACATGTCAGCACGTGAAGGTATATAGATAAGGGCTTGGTCACAGGTGATCATGGTCATGCTCTGTTTGTTATTGTTATTAACTGTCCCCTCTCAGGAGCAGCCTCCCCAGCAGCCTACAATGTTGTATACACCGACACTGTTCCTTTCTGGGGGCAAAGTTGAAGCTCTGAACCACTGAAGTAGCCTGTGTGGCCTGGATCCCCAGCATTCCGTGTCCCCAGGGATAAGGATGAACAACACTATTTGAAAGTCTCAAATTAATAGTATCTTAGGGCAGTCAATGTTGTACTTTGAAAATCTGCAGATTAATCCTAGCAGGTTAGTACATTCGAATTCTACACTCTTCTACTTTTGGTTTTCATCCTCGAACCTCTGCAGTAGACAACTGCTTTGTACCACACAGCAGCTTCTCCCCTTCTTTATGGCCACAATACTCTGATTTTGTTTCGGGGTAACCATCTCCTCCCTACTCTCATCAGGTGTTACAGAGAAAACTGACTCCTCCTTGGCTCCAGGAGGTGAATACGTGTCTCAGGCTTAACTTTCTTCCCCTCAGGCCACCATGACCAATTCAAGAACGGGACATGAACTATAGTCAGGCTAACTGGAGCCACTGAGACTCAAAGATGGGGTCACTGTTTGAGCTAACAGGGAGGCAGATTCTTTGTTTTTCACTTAAATATGGAAGGTTGTAGGCCGGAGCTAAAAGCATCTTGCTGTTATGAGAAAAGTCTGCCTGTGAAGGCAGCCGGCCCAGGAGAAGGTAGCGTTGAGAGTTGGAGGCAGGAAAACTAGTGCCAGTGACAGCTGGAACTCTCATTAGGCTGTACCAGAAGCCAGCCCTACCCCTGGTCTTTTCAGTTAGATGAGAAAATAAATGCTCATTTTGTTTAAGCTAGTTTAGAAGTTTAGATTCTTGTCACAGGTAACTGAAAAGTCCTAACTGATACATTATCCATTTTCCCAACTCACCAACACAGCTTGACTTTGAGACAGTTTCCTGGCCTACCATTACGAAAAGCCTGCACACTATGTCTCCTGGATCCACGCGTTTTCAGTCTTTGTCTCTTTAAGCCTGACCAAGTTCCTTCAGAGCTGCTCACAGCAGAACTGATATCTACTATCTGTGAACATACTGCCAGCTGGTTTGAATTACTGCATTGATCTAGGATTTTAACATTACTCCAGCACTCTGTTATTCTCGTCATAAAATCTATTGGCTGAATAGATAATAGGTCCTGAAACATCCCCCCACTCCACGACACACAGAAGCAGCAATGAGTCCCAGGCCCTTGAAAACATTATTTCTTGACATTTTCAATACTTATCCTCCAAAAGCGGGTAATGTGTTTAAGACAAAAATTTGACTGACTTAATAATTAGTCAAAATCAGCAAGTTAAAGCAAATTGGAATTGAAGCAGAAATCAATAAAAGGACTCACCAATCAAGGACCATATAGGATTGTCCTCCTCTTCAATGCTTGAAAATTGACCTATAAGATTAGCTTGAATTTCAGCACTGAAAGTGGGTAAACCTCTCTCCATCAGGGTCTTGTTAACCTCAGCACAAGTCTGAACACCAATAGAATTCAGGACTTCCTTCAAGTTAAAGGTCCTGTGAAACATAAAATGAAATTCCACCAGGGAAAGTTTTTGTTCATCAAGTTATTATTTTGAATATACAGACTTGTTTTAGATGTCTATCAGTCTTCTCTTATACAGACAATAATAACCTCTATTAGAATGAACTTATAAAATAGTAACTCCTCCCAACCACCAACCTTCTTATGTAGCAGATTTTTAAATGCTTAAAATCAATAAATTGTGTAGCAGTGTTTAAGTAGAAAAGCATAAGCAGAAAAATATGGTCCCCAAAAATGTACCTGCAACTCCATTTATATTACACGACTATCAGAAAGGGACAGAAAACACCAATTTGCTTCTTAAAATAAACTTGTTGGTTTGCGTGGATTCATTCACACATTTTAAAAAATGCACTTGATAAATGAAGTAGACTGAATTCATTTGTCTATGCCTAAGCAGTAAATCTGTAACACCAATCAAAAACAACAAATAAAGATATTCAGTGGTCAAATACCTAAAACTCTTGGCTGATCATGACCAAAGATAATAAGCTCCTTCCCATTATTCAAGTAACTGATAAATAATCTCCAATATATAGAGTCCAGAAAGTTGTAACAGTAATTAAAGAGTGAGTTATTTAGTAGGTAAGGAAAAACAGGTAATTAGAAAAGGCATTTGTTGGGTCCATACTATTAGGGAAAGATGACTGAAAATTCTATCTCACTATCCAGAAAGGGTCCTTAAGATAACTCTGCAAAATGGCAATTAAAGGATGAGAGAAGGGCTCAATGATAGGAAGCAGTATAATGGAGTGAGTTGGAACATAAGCTATGGTATCATGTGGAGCTGCGTTCAAATCCTGGCTCTACCACTGAACTTCTATGTGTCTAATATTTAGCTCTTAGCAGATTATCAGGCACATGGAAGAAGGAAAAGAGAAAAATAGGTTATCGTGTTGATCATCATTAACAGCAATAAGAAATGAGTTCTTGGTGTTCTGCCTTACTGGAATTTGTTATAAGCCCACATTGGACCTGATGTTGGAATTCTGTAACCCAAGGATAGACTGATTGTAATAAAATTATTACCTTCTGACTTTTTATCCACTACAATGTACTGCCCTAGTTTTTTCTTGCTTTTAATCAGTGAGTTCTTAGGCTAAAGGGAAACTGGCTAGCCATATGCAGAAAATTGATACTGGACCCCTTCCTTTCACCAGATACAAAAATCAACTCAAGATGGATTAAAGACTTAACTATAAGACCTTTAAAAACCCTAAAGGAAGACCCAGGAAATACCATTATGGACATAGGCCTTGGCAAACATTTCATGATGAATTATTCAAAAGCAAATGCAACCAAAACAAAAATAAACAAGCAGGACCTAATTAAACTAAACAGCTTATGCACAGCAAAAGAAACTATCAAGAGAGTAAACAGCCTACAGAATGGGAGAAAATATATGCAAACTATGCATTTAACAAAGGTCTAATATCTAGAATCTAAAGGAACTTACAACCAGCAAAAAACAACCTCATTAAAAAATGGGCAAAGGACATGAACAGATACTTCTCAAAAGAAGACTCACATGTAGCCAACAAGCATCTGAAGAAATGCTGAACATCACTAACCATTAGAGAAATGCAAATCAAAACCACAGTGAGATACCATCTCATACCAGTCTGAATGGCTATTTTTTCTTCTTTTTTGAGATGGAGTCTCACTCCATTGCCCAGGCTGGAGTGTAGTGATGCAATCTCAGCTCACTGCAACCTCCGCCTCCCAGGTTCAAGTGATTCTCCTGCCTCAGCTTCCTGAGTAGCTGGAACTACAGGCATGCGCCACCACGCTTGGCTAATTATTTTTTGTAGAGACAGGGTTTTGCCATCTTGGGCAGGCTAGTCTTGAACTCCTGACCTCAAGTGATCCACCTGCCTCGGCCTGCTAGAATGCTGGGATAACAGGTGTGAGACAACGTGCCCAGCCTGAATGGCTATTATTAAAAAGTCAGAAAATAACAGATTCTGGCAAGGTTGTAGAGAAAAGAGAGCGCTTATACACTTCTGGTGGGAATGTAAATTGGTTCAGCCACTGTGGAAAGCAGTTTGGAGATTTCTAAAATAACTTAAAACAGAACTACCATTCAATTCAGCAATCCCATTACTGGGTTTATTCCCAAAGGAACAGAAATCACTCTATCAAAAAGACACATGTACTCATATGTTCATTGCAGCACTATTCACAACAGCAAAGACATGGAATCAACCTAGATGCCCCTCAGTGGTGGACTGGATAAAGAAAATATGGTATATACACCATGGAATACTATACAGCTATAAAAAGAATAAGATAACATTCTTTGCAGCAACATGGGCAAAACTGGAAACCATCATCCTAAGTGAATTATCAGAAACAAAACCAAATACCACATGTTCTGGCTTATAAGTGGGAGCTAAATACTGAGTAAACATGGACACAAAGGGGAACAACAGATACTGGGTTCTACACCTAAAAGGTGGAGGTCTGGAGGAAGGTGAGGGTTGAAAAACTAACTATGCTCACTACCTGGGTGATGAAATCACTGGCACACCAAACCCCAGTGACCCTCAACTTACCCATGTAAAAAACCTGTACATGTGTCCCTAAACCTAAAAGTTGAAAAAGGGAAAAAAATTAAAAATCAACCAATCAATAAATCCTTTCAGCTCTTCAAAAAAAGTTGTCTTAGCATAAGCCATGCCTTCCACTCACAATGAAGAGGGAAAACTGTTTCTAGTTTTCAAGATGTGTCATCAAACCAAATATAAACGACATGTTGGTCTACTATTTAGTACTGTCCCTTTTTTTATACTATGAATGCTATTGCCCCGTCCATAATGAGGATAATTGAGAATTGATTGTATTCATTTCCTAACACCAGGGAAAAAATTAAACAATAAAACAACCAGATACAATTATAAAGATGATGATTTAATGGCTAGTTAAGCTAGCATTCATTGAGTACATATTATGTGCCACACACCTGTACATGAATCATCTTAAGTTCTCACGACTCCAAGGTAGATATTAATACAATTATTATTCCCTTCTTACAAGTGAGGAAGTCAGGCTCATAGTAATTTGAGAACTTATTCAAGTGTTCATAGTAAGTCAATAGCAGAGCTGGGATTTAAACCCTGGTATGTCTGAGCCAAAAGCCTGTCTTCTTAGTAACCACCTTCTGTATACTTTATATTAACATTTCAGCAGCACTGGGTGTTCTCTAAAGGCTTAATAAAAGTTTCTGGAAAGTAATGATTACCCATGCAGGGAAATGGTAAGATAAGACCAACTGCAAAATCAGAGGTTTCCTTTCATTATAGGTCTTGGGTCCTGGAATATTAATGAGCATCAGAATCAGGAGAAAGGTCAGATCAGGGCTCAGTCCTTGGTCTGCCCTTTTCTATCTGTGCAGCCCAAGGCAAATTCTACTCTATCTCTAAGCTTCAGTTCAAAATGAGAAGTTGGATTCTATAACTACTTATGCTCCTTTTGGCTCTTAATAGTCTAGGATTTCATCAAGTAATTTACATGCTCTCTGAATAATAGGTGGGAGGATGAGAAGACAGGTGCATCTTCCTTCAATTACAGGAATAAAGAGGACATGCCTCTGAAGACACCTGAAAGGGAACCAGCAGGAGAAGCTGACCCATAAGAGACTCACAGAACCATCTGGCCATTCACCAAGACTAAGAATTTTCTGACTTGGATAGGAATTCCTACTGGATGATGTAAATGCAAAATCTAAATGGGATTCCAGCATTCATGAAGGTATAATACTGGAGATAAATGTAGCAAAAACCAAAATCTTCACTGGACTTGTATCACATCTCTGAAGGGCAGAATTGTCAACACTTCTGAAGACTTCGTAGCAAGGTGGATTTGTGAAGTCAGTAAACAATTCACTGCAGAAAAATGATGAAGTCAGAACAAGCAATAGCACAATTCTAGGGAGGCCGAGGTGGGTGGATCATGAGGTCAAGAGATCGAGCCCATCCTGGCCAACATGGTGAAACCCTGTCTCTACTAAAAATACAAAAATTCGCCGGGTGTGGCGGTGCATGTCTGTAGTCCCAGCTACTCGGGAGGCTGAGGCAGGAGAATCGCTCAAACCCGGGACACAGAGGTTGCAGTGAGCCCAGGCTGCGCCACTGTACTCCAGCCTGGTGACAGAGCGAGACTCTTTTTTTTTCAAAAACAATTTGCACAATTCTAAACACTAAGCTTGGCAGATTTCTGTGTTTCGCTTGTTTTTCTTCCAAAGCACTGTCAAAGAAAAGCTGTTGTACAAATTCATTGTAAGTGGAAATACTACACTCACCCTGGCACTTGTCATGGAAAACATCTCTCCCTTCCTATGAGAGGACATCTAAGCCTTCAGAGAGATTAAAGGAAATTCTAGAAAAAGAAAGTGTAAGATAAGCTTCTCTAAAGCACAGTCCTGAATCTCACATCCAGATGTCCAAGGTCATTCTTGTTCTCTGAGACGCATGCAGAACCTTAATACAAGAGGGAGCAGATGCAAAAATCTGGAACTTACTCTTTGTTCATGCCTTCGAGTAGAACAGCTGAAATCCTTTTTAACCTGTTTGCAAGTTCAGGCAGGCCTCCTGTAATAGCACCCACCATGTTGTTGGTAATTAGGGACAGGCAGGCAATAATTTTCAATTGATTCAGCTTTTCTGTCAGTTCCTGAAGACGTGCTCCATCTGTCATAAGTGTCTAACATATTTATTTAAAATATAAAAATAGAAAGGGTAGCTCAATAGCATGAAAATACAAAATAGGCAATGTCATTTCCAAATTCCCATTTTTATCTGATTTTTACAAAATCATTAAACCACACGAAACACAGACCAGATGATTCAAAGTTAGAACTTAAGAATTAAAATACTGGGAAATTTGGGGGAAGAACAAAATCACTCACCTCTGGTAATTCTTTTTTCTGATAATCCCACTGTAACAGTTTCAAGTAACTATTATTTAGCACCAAAGTAGGGCTCAGGCTTGGCTTGGAGGTATTTTCGGCCCCAGGAGTTAAAGCACTCTCAGAAAGAGAAAACAATTCTTCATTTACAGATTCTTTTATCCATTCTGTAGTCTGATCAAGAGCACCTAAGAGTGAAAAGGCCACATATTTGTTCTACAGCTGATTGATCCCTTCACTGGTGTATTCCACTTGACAGATGCTGTGTTGGGTGCTGGGCATAAATGAAAAGACACAGCCATGCCCTTCAAGGAGTTTATAACCCAGATGGAAAGACAGATCTGTAAACGAACAACTATAACACAGTACAATGAATGCTGGTAATTGTGGGAGAAGAGGCTGTCCAGGAAATAATCTAAGAGGAAGAGCTCTGTAAGTGCTCTGGAAAAGACAGCATATGGCACATTCTAGATGCCACATTCTGGATGCCACAAACAAATCTGTATTGCTGGTCCATAAGGAACTAGGGGTAAGAGGGTTGTAGCAGATGGCATTGGATGGGTGGTTAGAAGCCAGCCTTGAGTTTGTGCAGAGAAGGTATTTAGAGTAAAGTCATTAATTTTCACACATTTTTGGTAAAAGGTGAAACATTTATACAATCTGAAGAGAAAACAGAGTATAATTATTACACATTTTTGGGTCTTAGACCGCCTTAAATATCTAATTAGAGATACGCCTTTCCCAAGGTGAATGTGCACACTCACATGCACATGTCCACAAACAATTGTCATTCTCTCTTACCAGATTCATAGTCCCCAGGTTACAAACACCAGCGACGGAAATGGGGAGTTTTGGATAATATTATTTTCTTTCTTTTTTTTTTCCAGACGGGGTCTTGCTCTGTCACTCAGGCTGGAGTGCAGTGGCGTGATCTCAGCTCACTGCAACCTCCACCTCCCAGGTTCAAGCAATTCTCCTGCCTCAGCCTCCTGAGTAGCTGGAACTATAGGCGTGCGCCACCACATCCAGATAATTTTTGTATTTTTAGTAGAGATGGGGTTTCACCATGCTGGCCAGGATGGTCTTGATCTCCTGACCTCATGATCCACCCACCTCGGCCTCCCAAAGTGTTGGGATTACAGGCATGAGCCACTGCACCCGGATGAATATTATTCTTTTCAACATGGAACCCATATGATCAGATATGCATGTTAGAAAAATTGCTTGGAAAGAAAGACTGAATTAGTGGAGGGAGAGTAAATTGTTGCAGTGGTTCAGACAAGAGAGTGAATGGATAAGGCAGTGGAAGTGAGGGGTAAGGAGGAGAAAATTGACAAATATTTAGGGGGAGCACCCACAGGTCTTGGTGACCACTTACATGTAGAGAGTAGGAAAGGAGTATTATAGGATGACTCCCAGATTTGTACCTTGGACACCTGAATGAATGCTTGTGCCGTCTACCAAGATACAGAATATAGGCCAAAGAGGTTCTGAAATAAATCTTTCCCATAACCTTTCTAAGGCCACCACCAATCTCCTGGTTGTCAAATCCAACAAACATGTCCTTCCTACTTTTTTTAAATACCTCTGTAATACAGACATCTCTTAGTACAGCCCTCCAGAAACTCTTTCCCTGGCTTTTCTAATACCACTCTTCCTTAGTTTCCCCTAGCTGTGCTTCTGCATTTCATACCTGGGTTGAGAAGACAGGATGAGAAGATAGGTACATCTCCCTTCAGTTACAGGAAAATGTTCCTCTGCCTGTTCCTTAAATGGTGATGCTTCCAAGCACTCTACCCAATCCCCATTGATTTGGTACTCTTCAATCTCACTAGACCATCTTACTCGTTTCTGTGGTTTCTATTTCCACCCATACCCCATAAGGCTCCCAAATCTGTATCTCCAGCCCTCACTTCTCTCCTGAGCTTTTGATTTCCTCATTTGTAGAATGAGCAAGTGGGAGGAGAGTCACTAAATATGAAGTTGAGCAGAGATGCCCAGTATAGTACACTGCTACATAGTGTTTCCATCATCCAGATATAACAGGTACTTTATACCTGTTATATGTACCATCTTGAGATTCTTTAATGTCAAGACTATAGACAATAGTAAGATAATTTGGAAGTGAAGAGTTTTTAGTATTTGTTTTCCTTTACTTTTTATAATTATTATTTTGTTTTTTCACACATATAAATATGTTTATATTTACAGACATAATAAATTCATACCAGAAAATGTTCAGTTCTTAAGTGTTCAGTTTGGTGAGTTTTGACTATTCTATGTACCTGTGCAACTACCACCTAAAACAAGATATAGACGATATCCATTACCCCAGAAAGTTCTCTCGTCTCCCTTTCCAGTCAATGTGCACCTCACTCAACTACTTTTAACTCCTAACTGCATAAATTAGTTTGCCTTCTAGAAATTCATATAAATGGAATCATAAAGTACCTAGCATAGTGTTTCTGACATTTATCCACATTGTCTTATATATATCACAGTTCATTCCTTTTTAGGGCTTTGAAAATAACTTTTAAATTTTGAAATAGCTTAAACTATTTCAAAATAAAAGACTTAAAAAGTTGTGAAAATAGTACAGACAGTTCCTGTATACCCTTCACCCAGCTGCCCCCAAGGACAGCATCTTAAATAACTACAGTATATTGTCAAAATCAGGAAACTGACATGGGTACAATACCATTAACTTATACTGATTTTACCAGTTTTTACATGCATTCTTTATGTGTGTAGTTCTAAGAAATTTTATTACATATGTGGATTCCTGTAACCATCAGGATACTCAACTATTTCATCACTGTAAAATATCTCCTCATGTTACCTCCCAGTAGTCACACTCTCACCTCAACCCTAACTTCTGGTAACCAATGATCACCATAACTATGTCACTTCAAGAATGTTATGTAAATAGAATCATACAATATGTAGCTGTTATGGACTGCTTGTGTCCACCTGCCACCCAAATTCCTATCATGAAGCCCTAACTTCCACTGTGATGACATTTGGAGATGGAGAATTTGGGAGGTAATTAGGGTTAGATGAGGTCATGAGGGTTGATACCCTTAAAAGAGGAGACAAAAGAGGAGACTCTCTTTCCATCCGCACACACTGAGAAATAGGCATGTCTATAGTGCCAGGAGGAAAGCCCTCATCAGGAACCAAATCAGCTGGCACTTTCATTTTGGACTTTCAGCCTTGAGAACTATGAAAAATAAACTAATATTGTTGAAGCTACCCAGTCTGTGGTACTTTGTTATGGCAGCCTGAGCAGACCAGTAAAATGACCCTTTGAGATTGGCTTTGTTTTCTAAGCATCCATCCAAGTTGTATGTATCTATAGTTCATTCCTCTTTATTACTGAGTAGTATTCTATTGTACGGATATACCACAGTTTGTTTATCCATTTACCAGTGGAGAGTCCTTTTGGTTGTTTCAGTTTGGGGTTTTACAAATAAGGCTGATATGAATATTTATGTACAGGTTTCTGTGTGAATGTAAGTTTACAATTCTTGGGGATAAAGACTCAGTATTGCAAGTACTAGGTTGTAAGTGTGTTTAATAAGAAATTGCCTAATGATTTCCCAGAGTTTTACCTTTGCTTTTAATATAACATATTTAATTGTAAATTTATATAATTTAATTTTTAGTAATGGGTATGTTTACTAGCTCACAAAATTCCTTCAAATATAGCAAATGGCTCCCAAGTCTGTACCAACCACTTCCAGCCTACCACTGACAGTGTCCATTTCTAAAATTAATTATGTCAAACAGAGCCCAGTATAATTGGGCAGACAAGTCTTTTACATTTATTCCTTGAAACAGATTTGACAAGAACACAAACAAAAGTTGCAGTGCAAAGAGACTCATCAGCAACAGTCTGTTCCGCAACAGGATTTAGAAAGCACGACAGAGAATGAAGAAGCAGCTTGACTGGAGAGTCAAGTTTGCATTGCAGATGAATGAATCTCAGCTTAGGGCAACCTATGCATTGCAGATGAATGAATCTCAACTTAGAGCAACCTAATATCAAAGCAATCAACATGTGACCAAGAACTTGTGCTAGGCTCCCGCCCGTGCAGTAGTTGGGGGCACGGGACTGAGCCAGGCAGTCTCAACTTCGGTGTATGCTTTGGGCAGGTTACCTAACGTCTCCTCAGTTTCCTCTGTCTGTGAACTGGGGATAATAGTATTCCTCCTGAAGCTGTGGTAAAGATTCAACAAACTAGTACATACAAAACACTTGGAACCATTTCTGGCACAAAGGAAATGCCCCTAAGTGTTAGCAATTGTTACATTAGCTCATTTAACTCTGTAAACAACCTTTAAGGAGGGGGATTATTGTCTCTAGAGGGCTCGTCAGGTTCTCTGCCTGATACACGACAGCTGCCTTATTAATGAAGTTGCCTCAGACACAGTGATCACCGTGGAATAAGAGTGAGTAGGCTAAGCAGTGGGTTGGTTAAAATGAGCTTTTTGGGAACTTGACTTTTCTGTGTGTGTAAATACCAGTTAGTGTGCTAGCATGAGGGAGCAGAATCTAGGCAGGTCCCCTTAAAGAAAAGCCAATGCTTTAAAGGAGATGTTATCTAGAAAACATGCAGACACTGAAAATCTAGTTTATGCAGTATGATCCCTGGTATTTGGCAAGGGTTATTCCAGAAGGCAAGATGGGAGAGGGAGAAGGAAGCAGTGAGGAAAGAAGAAATCACTGAACTTTAGTGTCATACTTAATTTGACCTTAAAGACTATGACCTTAAAGACAATGTCCAGTTCAATTGTCCTTCCACTTTAGACAAGTTTATCAAGTTCAGTTCTTCTGGATAAAAAATATGTATCACTGGAAATGAGGTTTTTTACTTGAATTCATTTCATTTTTAAGCATATGGCACTTAAATATTACTATAATATAGGTTATCAGGTGCCTAATAGTTATTATTAGCACAGTTCCCTTGATATTAACAGTTTCTATGACAAACAACTCACACAGAGTTGCTCCAAAAGGTGCCTCTGCAAAGGCTTGCTTCTGCAAGTGGCAATGGCTCCCTCTAGACAATGGAAAGAAGGCAAGAAGAAGAAAGCACCCACCATCAGCCATGACTAGCTGAAATGAGACTGATTCCAAACACAAAACAGCCCCCAAGTGCTCAACAGCCACCGGACTTCCTTGCTT